CACGTCCGGTCGAGTTCAGTCTAGAAGCAAGTTCATCAAGTGTGGAGAAAATCGATTCAGACATATCTATAGCTCCTATATATATCTTTCATCCGATTTGGGGGTTTAAGTCACTCAGATGAGTAATGTCTGAGTATTAACTTGGGGGCCCAAAAATACCTCTGTCAAATTTTATCGAGATTGGATCAGATTTGAATATAGCTCCCCTATATATCTTTATCCAATATCAGGTTTATTGTGCACCAAATTGCTAATATCAGCCCAAATGGACTGAATTTTTGCAATTCTGATTGAAGTCATCCTAGAAACGGGAAATTTCAATTTGGTGAAAATTGGTTCTGATAAAGCTATAGCTCTCATATATATGTTATATCTGATTCGATATTAAAGTCCCTCACATGCGAAATATGCACTCCACAACAATAATCTTTAGTACCAGACATAAGATACAGCTCAGAAATAAGTGTTTAAAATTTTGTCAAGATTGGTTCAAATTGAGACATACCTCCCCTACCATGTGCACCAGATGGACAATATATTTCCAAATGATCTGAGTTTTGACACATCCGACAAATATGAGTCAAAATGACCTGCATTTTAGCACACAGTCTACAAGAAAGTACATAAAATTCAATCCATACGTGTAACATGCACTCTCCATATCAATGATATTTGATACCGCGCAACAGATACTGCTCAAATATACCTCTGCGAAATTGTATCTAGGTCAGTTTAGATTTTTATATACCTTCGATATTTATCTTCATCCGATTTTACGCTTATTGCTCACCATATATGTAATATCAGCCCAAATTGAATAGATTTTTTAATATTCAACCGAATTTTCCCATCTGGTGAGACTTCGTCCGGTATATCAATTGCTCCAATAAATATTTTGTAATATAATCCTTATTTGGTTCATAGTTAGTATTATGTACTTCATAAAAATTCCCAATATAAACGATTTTGTTACGGGAGCTCTGCTAAATATACATAATGGTGTAGGGTATCATATAGTATTTCCTTACTGGTTTTATTTTTAACCAGTAAATCGAGTTTTGGTACCGATTATTCAGAAAACATGCAAAGAACTGCCCATGTTAATCCAAGTTGTAGAGTAGACTCCATATTACGGTACCTCTAAGTTTTCCGTATTTCAATGGTTTTAGGTGCATTATTCAACGAAAGTGTTTTAAACGTTTTCACGTTTTCTTATGTCCTCCATATATTGATACCTCCAAATATTCAGCATTTTGATGATTTTTGTCACATTTTTTATACCCTCCACCATACTATGGAGGGTATATTAACTTTGTCATTCCGTTTGTAACTCCTCGAAATACTCATGTCAGACCCAACAAAGTATATATATTCTTGATCAGCGTAAAATTCTAAGTCGATTTAGCGATGTCCGTCTGTCTGTCTGTCTGTCTGTCCGTCTGTCTGTCTGTTGTAATCACGCTATCTTTCGAATGAATTGAGATAGATGGCTAAAATTTTCAACACATGTTTATTTTTCCAGTAGGCAGGTTAAGTCCCTATATTCGGTATTTTGATGATTTTAACGACATTATTCACGGGAATTGTTTCAAATTTGGTATTTGAAGTTCATTATAGGAACTACAGTCTGTGACAGAAAATTGTCTGTGCGGGTCCAGGTCTTCGTATAGGCCCCGTATATCAGTACCTCCCTATATTCGGTATTTTCATGATTTTAGCGACATTATTCACCGGAATTGTTTCAAAATTGGTATTTGAAGTTCGTAATGAATACTACAGTCTAAGATAGAAAATTGTCTGTGCAAGTCCATTTCTTCGTATAGCCCCCATATAACGGTACCTCCTGATATTCGGTATTTTGGTGATTTTAACGACATTATTCACGGGAATTGTTTCAAATTTGGTACTTGAAGCTCAAAATGGATACTACACCCTAAGACAGAAAATTGTCTGTGCAGGTCTACGTCTTCGTATAGCCCCCCTATAACGGTACCTCCCTATATTCGGTATTTTGATGATTTTAGCGACATTATTCACCTGAATTGTTTCAAAATTGGTATTTGAAGTTCGTAATAAATACTACAGTCTGTGACAGAAAATTGTCTGTGCGGGTCCAGGTCTTTGCACAGCTCTAATTTAACGGCACCTCCTTATATACGATATTTTGATGATTTTAGCTACATTATTCACCGTTTATTGAATATGGTAATGGCTTATGACAAACAATGCCTATGTATGTCCACGTCGTATAGACCCCAATATGACGGCTATATTCGGTATTTTTAAAATTTTAACAGAATTTTTTAACGATTTTATTTTTTAAAAACTTCCAAATTCGTTGCAAATGGTGGAGGGTATTAAAAGTTCGGCCCGGCCGAACTTAGTGCTTTTTAACTTGTTAAAATTGAAAAATTGACATTAGAATTTCGAATTTCTCAAACTCCCGACAATATAGCTTGAGAACGTGGACCTGAGAGGTACATTTATATGGGGACTATACCAAAATATATACCTATGTTAAAAATGTTCTTTACCCCCAAAGTACGTAAAATCAAGGAATACATTCATGTAAGGCTTATAGGAAAGCGTGGGCCTTATTGATATTTTTTTTGCTGGAGGGCTTTCTCTTACTAAGAACTCGAATGAACGTTGGTTGGTATTCTTGTAAACCAGATGATTTGATATTGACAGTATTATTGGCTTCGATATGCAAGCAGGTAATAGAGGAGTTTAAATTGACTCTAATGCTTTTTTTTAGTGTAAAACTCTATCATAATTTCATTGAACATTGTTGCAATTACGTGATTGCGTAAATTAAATGATTTTTGATAATTTCAAACACGTCACCTGCAATAAAATTTCAATTTACAAGTGACAAACTTCATCTATTATAGTTATTTAATTTGTATTATATACTATTGGGTATTTAATTTGAATGTTTTTTTAATTAGCCTAATTAAATTGAAATTAAGCAAATAATAGTTGCTACAGACTTTATTTACATATGTATGTCTATTTTATATATATATATATATATATATATATATATATATATATATATATATATATATATATATATATATATATATATATATATATATATATATATATATATATATATATATATATATATATATATATATATATATATATATATATATATATAAATATATATAAATATGTACATAAGCTATTAAAATAATGATTGTATAAAGAGAGTATTAAGCAAACTTGCTCAAAACCATGTAGTACACCAATCCCCAAAATATGCAATTTAAGAGAAAACAGCAATTCTATTTGTCTGAATATTGTAGCAGTTATTTCAGCAGTTTTTTTTAACGAATAATTCTCTTCCAGAGAGAGATGGACAGAGCTAAATCGTCTTAGAATAAACAAGTTAAAAAACAATACCCTCCACCTTTATAACCAACAAATACCGAATTTTAGAAAAATCCGTGAAGAATTGCGGCAAAAATCATTAAAATACCGAATATCGAGAGGTACCCTTATATCGGGCTATACAAAAACGTATATCGAATGATACTGTTAATAATGGGGAATATAGCAAATACGATACAAATTATTCTTCCTAATGTTGACGTTGATTTCAACAGGCAGATAGACAGTATGATGCTGATTATGAATATATATACTTTATGGGGTCTACGCCGAGGTTATATTAACTTTGTCATTCCGTTTGTAACGCCTCGCAATATTCATAATATACCCTACAAAGTATTTATATTCTGGATCAGCGTAAAATTCTAAAACGATCTAGCCATGTCCGACTGTTGTAATCATTCTATCTTTCAAACGAATTGAGATAGAAGGCTAAAGTTTTGTTTGTTTCACATTTAAATTTCGTAATGCATACTACAGCATATGACAAAAATTTTTGTATGTAGGTCCACGTCTTCGCATAGCCCCCACATAACGGTTCCACCCGATATTTGGTATTTTGATGATTTCAGCAACATTTTTCACCGGAATTGTTTCAAATTTAATATTTGAAGTTCGAAATGGATACTGTACCCTAAGACAGAAAATTGTCCGTGCAGGTCCATGTCTTCGTATAGCCCCTATATAACGGCAACTCCCTATATTCGGCATTTTGATGATTTTAACGACATTATTCACCGGAATTGTTTCAAATTTCGTATTTGAAGTTCGTAAAGGGTGCTACAGCCTGTGACAAAAAATTTTGTATGCAGGTGCATGTCTTCGTATAGCCCCCATATTACGGTACCTCTTGATACTCGGTATTCTTATGATTTTAGCGACATTATTAACCGAAATTGTTTCAAATTTTGTATTTGAAGTTCGTAATGGATACTACATGCAATAACAGAAAATTTTCTCTGCAGGTCCACGTTTTGGTATGGTCCCCATATAATGGTACCTCCCTATTTATTTATTTTTTTTTTTTTTTTTTTGGATGATTTTAGCTCATTATTCACCGATTTTTTTCAAGTTTCGAATTGCAATATTGTAATGGCTTATGACAAAATCTGTCAATGCCGGTCCACGTCTTCGTATCAACCCTAATATAACGGCTAAATTCGGTATTTTTAAGATTTTAAGACGATTTGATACAGAATATGGCTTTGATACCTTCCTCACAAAGGGACAACACATGACACTTTCCCATAACTTTCAAAGGATATAGGTTCATATCCAAAAAAATACAGAGTAATTGTTCTCTGTTCAATACTCTAGGTGTGACATATGGTAGATATATTTCTTAAAGTTGAAATATAATTATAAAGGTTTCTGATTCTACATTGTGAGGTATCTAGGTTGAAAAAATAGTCACGGTGAATTTAGTTTTGTTCATATTTGTCATATTGGCATGATCTGGCATTTAATTTGAAATCGACATTTCTTAAGTGACGAAATATTTAATTCCCAACAAATATTCTTACAAACGTAGTTATCTCACTGCGATTTTTAGTTGATATGTGTATGGGGGGTTCTGCATGGTTTATAATCTTAACGATGGCTAACGATGACTTGCTATCAGAAATTGAGTAATCGTACAAAGGGTTAAATTCGAAAGTGAGAGCGAAACAATGTTTCCTATAAAATGCAATGAAACTGCTACCAAACACATCATTTATTTTGAAAACTTTTAGACAATAACATACGGAACACAAGAGGTGTGTTTAAATATAAATTTAAAATATTAAGTAATAAAATAAGAAAATAAAATTCCTGACACATAAATTATTAAAGTGATTTCTAAATTCATTTTTCTAACAAAAAAATCTCATCGTCTAATTCCAGCCATGGATTTCTATTATATGCCACCATCTGCCCCCTGCCGTGCCGTTGAAATGACCGCTAAGGCTGTAGGCGTTGAGTTGAACAAAAAAGTCATCGATCTCACCAAGGGTGAACACCTGAAACCAGAATTCGTTAAAATCAATCCTCAACACACCATTCCCACTTTGGTCGATGGCGATTTCACCCTCTGGGAATCTCGTGCCATTATGACATATTTGTGTGAGAAATATGACAGCAGCAAGAAATGGTATCCAGAATGTCCCAAAATTCGTGCAATCATCAATCAACGCATGTACTTCGATATGGGCACCCTGTATAAGAGTTTTGCCGATTACTATTATCCTCAGATCATGAAGAAAGCTCCCGCTGATCCAGAAATGTTCAAGAAAATCGAACAAGCTTTTGAGTTTTTCAATACTTTTTTGGATGGTAAACAATTTGCTGCCGGTGATGCTGTAACCGTGGCGGATATTGCTCTCTTGGCTACGGTGACAAATTTCGAGGCGGCCAAATTTGATTTGAGCAAATACGCCAATGTGGCGAAGTGGTATGAGACTTGCAAAACAGCTGTGCCTGGTTTTGCTGAAAATGTTGAGGCTTGTGCTAGCTTCAAGAAGTATTTTGAAAATTAAGTAGATAATTTATTGTTGTAAAATTAATGTTGTAGATTTTAAATAAATTATTATGTTTTGTTATTTATTGAAAATGCAAATGTTTTATTAAGAGCGCATGAAATTAAAAAAAAAAAAAAACAAGTAAAAAATCTTTTAATACCATCCACCTTAGGGTAAAGGAAACATTATGACCCACAAATACCAATTTCTAGACAAATTCGTGGAAAAATGTATAAAAAATCATCGAAATACGGAATACAAGGAGGTACCGTTATAAGGGGGTAATACCAAAACGTGGGACTATAAATACAATGTTTCGCCATACGAGCTAGAACCCATTATGACCCACAAATACCAATTTTTAGACAAATTCGCGATAATATGTGGCAAAAATCTTCAAAATACCGGATATCGGGAGGTACGTTATATGGCGGCTATACCAAAACGTGAACCTATACATACAGTTTTTCGTCAACGGAGCTAGAACCCATTATCACCAACAATTTTTAGACAAATTTGTATAAAATATGTGGCTAAAACTATCAAACTTCCGAATATCGGGAGGTATTTTTATTTGGGGACTATCCCAAAACTTGAGCCGATATTTCTCATTTTAAATATCAACCATCCTAGACGCAATGTAAACTGCTGTGACAAATTTTAAAGCTCTACGTCAAATAGTGTAAGCTATATCGTGATTACAACAGACGGACAGACAGACAAACAGACGATGTGAAATTTAATATACCCTCCTTTCCAAGGTGGAGGCTTTAGAAATGAAATAGTGTCGGACTTTTTTCAAACTTTGGGTGAAGTTGGTATGTATCGGCCCATTTATTCTTGGCTTTTTCTGCAAATGGTCGAAATTTTGAAAACTCCTAATTAATATATACAGGGTGAGATAAAGTCAAATGCCATAATTTTTACATTTTTTTTAAATTATATTGAAAGCCAGCAAAAAAATGTCGAAAATAGCATCAAAATTAAAAATTAGTTGAGATTTGTTCGAATTGGTCACCTTTGGCACGAATTATGGCCTTCAAACGGCCAATGAAACCTTCACACAGTGCCCGAATGTTACTCTGCGGTATTTTGGCCCATTCCCGTCGAAGCGCTTGCTTCAGGTGATCGACACTTTGGTATATTTTAGTGCCAACCTTTCTTTCCAAAATACTCCAGACACAATAGTCCAACGGATTGGTATCCGGAGATTTTGGTGGCCATTGTGCGCTGGAAATGAAACGATGAACCTGATTTTGTAACCATTCTTGGGTGGCGTGTGCTAAGTGCGATGGTGCTGAGTCTTGTTATAATGTCCAAGGTCTGTGACCAAAACGTTTGAGTGATCAAGGCTTTAATACACCCTCCTGAATATTCTCCCGATAATATTCGGCATTTATTCTGATGCCACGGTCGATTAATACGAGCGGAGAGCGGCCATCGGCTGTTATGGCGGCCCACACCATCACAGGGGTCGGCGCTTGAGTTCTGGTGGCCAACCGAAGGTGCACATTTTCAGCTGACTTCTTTTTTTTTTGTTTACTAACTGCTGGATAACTAATGTTTTCTCATCGGAGAACACCAAATTCGGCAGCTCACCACTTTGGCCAAGCCAAGCTACTCTTTAGCTCTTTTCAGTCTATTTTCTTTCTGTTGCGGTATAAGTTCTTGCACTTTTTGGAATTTTAATGGTTTTACCTCGAGTTCATATTTTTAATATTTGCCGAATGGAATATTGCGATATGTTCAGCTCACAAGTCATTTTTCGGCTTCGATTAAGTCGCTTCCTTACTAACTTTTGTAACCATTTCTTCTGATGTTGGTGTTTTCTTCCGTCCACTTCCTTGACGTCGGGCTACGCTACCAGTATCCTGGTAACGAGCGATGGTACGAGACACAAAAGATTTATTCACATTTAAATACTGGAGTGCTCTGACGATAGCCACTTGTGGTTTTCCAGCCAAATATAAAGAAATCATACTATCACGCTTGAAATCCATCACGAATAATTTTTTTTTTCTGGAAAATTCTCACCAGAATGCTTTTGTACCCTTGTAAGTAATATAATGAGCTATAACAGGAATAATTTTAACAGCTGTCTGCCGAGTTGCTTAGAAATGACAGCAGTCTGAAATTGGTTGCAGTTTTTTTTTTATCTCACCCTGTACTTGATTCTAGACTGAATTCAGCAGGATGTATGGGAGCGATATCTAAATTTGACACGATTTTCACCAATTCAAAACCACATCCCCATAAAATGCGAAATAATGAAAATGGAATATGGCGATGCTGTTCTTTTGGAATTCATACCAAAAAAATTTAATTTTCAAAATATTCATATAAGTTATGAGCGAAACAAGAATACATCGGACCAAACCCTTTTGCACCATTTCAACAAAAATTTAAAATTTCGAAAATTCGCAAGTAAAAAAGTAGCTATGTTCTGCCGGGCCAAACTTTTTGTACCCTCCATCATTGCAATGAACTTAAAATATTTAAAAAAAAAATCCCTCAAATAATACCACCTAAATGAAAATCTGCATATCAGATTCCGCACTTCAAATACGAAATTTGAAACAAATCCGGTAACAAATGTCTGTAAAATCATCAAAATACCGAATATTGTAAGGTCCGTTGTATGGGGACTATACAAAAACGTAGACCGACATGGCCCATTTACGAACTGAACTTCCTACTGCCAAAAGAAAAAAAAAAACACTTTTGTGCAAAATGTTATTTCAATTCGTTCCAAAGATAGCGTGAATTCATCCGACAGACGGAAATTGCTAACCGACTTAGAGTTGTATGCTGATCAAAAATATGTATATTTTGAGTATTTCGAGGAGTTACAAACGGAATTACAAAGTCAATATTCCTTCCATAAAATGACGGAGAGTATAACAAAGATATAAAATATTTTCCCACTTTTTGTCTAACTTTGCATGATGATGGGATATATCGTTCCAGTCCTTCTTTGCTTTCCCAAAAAACGGATACAATTTAAAAAAAACCAAAATTTACATATATTTTGGGTTATTTTGACATCGCGAAAAAAATTAAAATCTAAACATTAACGAGTTTGAACTCCATACCAAAGAGCTTAAGAGAGCTACAACCCTTTAACTCTCTGAGAAATGTATAGTGACAAACAAAGTTTATGTTTTGGCCTACTCTGGGCATGGCTAATCTTTCCACTTGTGATTGCTTGTTATCAGAAATTTTAAAAGCGTTCTGGGTGCTATTCTTAGCTAGTGGGGCACAGCTAGTGTTGTTTAGATTGCTTAAGTAAACATTAGCATATACAATTTTTTCTTTATATTTCTAAGGTGTGTGCTTAAAAGTGTGTAAGATTTCGAAATACTTTAAAATAATTCTTTCCCCTTTTCCAGTTATAGTCATGGATTTATATTACATCCCCTCTTCTGGACCCTGCAGGGCCGTTGAAATGACTGCCAAGGCATTGGGTGTAGAGCTAAACAAAAAATTCCTCAATCTTCGCAAGGGAGAACAATTTACTCCCGAGTTTAAGAAACTAAATCCTCAACACACAGTACCAACATTGGTCGACGGGGATTTTATTCTATGGGAATCTCGTGTAATTATGATGTATTTGTGTGAAAAATTCGACACGGCCAAGAAATGGTATCCAGAATGTCCAAAACTCAGGGCAATTGTCCAACATCGCATGATCTTTGATTTATCGACATTGTATCAAAGTTTTGCCGATTATTATTATCCCACGTTGTTGTGGGGCAAACCAGTCGATCACACAAAGTTGAAGAATATCGAAAATGCTTTTAAGGTATTCAATATTCTGTTGGAGGGTAAACAATTTGCTGCCGGTGATTCTGTGTCCATTGCTGATATTTCGCTGTTGGCAACGGTGACAAATTTTGATGCTCTTAAATTTGATTTTAGTAAATATCCCAATGTTGCTGCATGGTATGAGCGATGTAAGACGGCGGTGCCTGGTTATGCGGAGAATTTTGAAGCTTGTAAGATTTTCGAAAAGATTTTCCGTGGTAAATTGTAAATGTTTTCGATTTATTTTAAATTAATAAAAAATACATATTTAAAAAAAAAGACTGTGAAAAACTAAAAATCCAAAACTTAGGGCAATAATAAGTTTTTTAATTCTTTTTAGCCTGTAGCGGAAAACCTCAATTTTTTAGTAAGAAGAACACCAGATTTCCAAATACCAATTATTTCAAAAATGTTTGGGATTGGAATTTTCATCCGAAGAGATTTTTAAGAATTCGGTTCAAATGACGGCTGAAACATTTGAATTGCGGCTGAAACATTTGAATTGCAAGGGCCAGCAATATGGGGGCCTAAAAACAGCTTTGGGACTATGTTGGAAGTTTTTTGTTGGAATAGAAATCCGATTGCAGCTAATTTGGTTGGAAAATGCATTAAAAAACTTCAAAACGTTTTTAATCGAGAAGTAGCGCGGTTATTAGAGGCATATCAAATATTTGACCCACATTTTTATTTTTTTGTAAAAAATATAACCTGCTCATAACCCGAAAATGATGGCAAGAACTTTTAAAGTGGGGAAAATATAAACATATTTGTATATCGGGAAAATATCTATACATAAACTCATATAGCCAATTTTTACATAATTTTTAGGAAGCCTTGTCATCCCTTTTGAGATAAAACGTGTAAAAAAGCAACTAAGTTCGGTCGGGCCAAACTTTTTATACCCTCCACCATTCGGAAGGAACTTGAAATATTAAAAAAAAAACGTTGAAAAAACCGCTTAGGGGCTATATGAAGACGTGGTGCTGGATAAGTAATTTTCTGTCATAGGCTGTAGTACCGATTCCGAATGTCTCCAATATCATCAAAATACCGAATAAAGAGAGGTACTGTAGTATGGGGGCTATACTAAGACGTGGACCTGCATAGACAATTTTCCGTCATAGGTTGTAGTACCTATTACGAACTTCAAATACGAAATTTGAAGCAATTCCGGTGAAAACTGTGGCGAATCCTAGAAATACCGAATATCTCGGGGTCGAGTTATATGATTGCTAGAACGTAGACCTGTATAGACAATTCTCTTTCAGGGGGTAAAGTAGTCAGAGAGAACTCCTTGTGTGGATTTTCAGACTATTCCATTGACAAAATGTGGCTAAAAACATGAAAATACCGAATATCTGGGGGTACCATTGTATGGGGGCTATACGATATCGTGCACTTATATAGGAAATTCCCTTTCAGGGGGTAAAGTACTCAGAGAGAACACCTTGTGTAGAATTTCAGACTATGTCATTAAAAAATGAGACTAAAATCATCAAAATACCGAATGTCGGGAGGTGTAGTGATATGGATATACGTTATCGTGGACCGATATAGCACATTTTCGAACTTGACCTGCCTGCACAGAAAAAACGGATCTGTGCAAAATTGTAGCTTCCTCTCTTAATTCGTTTTGACTCTAGCGTCATTAAAAAGACGACTTAATAGTCTTAGAATTGTACGCTAATTAAAAAACGCTGTCTTAAATTTTTTTTCCGAAAATTCTTAAAACATCCACCACTTTGTCCATATAGGCCTTCGAGAAAAAATCTAAATATCTTCGAATCCTTCAAAAATATTCTAAAGATCAAGGAGAATTTATTAAAATTTCTGAATATTCACGAATACCTTAAAACGTATTCTGAAAATCCACGAAAATTTACTTCCACAAATATCCTAAATTCTACGAATCTTTGAAAATGTTAATTCAAAAAATATTCAAAATAATCACTAATCTGTTAAAATTGTTCTACAAAAATAATCTAAAAACCCGTCATTTCTTTACAAAATATTCACGGGTCTTTCACAATAGTCCTTAAAAACTACTCCAAATATGCCCACGAGTCCTTCACAAAATATTCTATAGGTTCAAGACTCTGTCAAAATAATCCTTAAAAATATATTTTTATAATGCACGAGTCGTCCCAAAAACCTTCTTAAGCTGCAAGAGCCTTTCATAATTCTTTGTAAATCTAGGAACCGTCAATATAGTCCTGTTTAAATGTTTTTGAGATTCACGAGTCCTTCAAACAATATTTCAAAGATCCACAAGTCTTTTAAAATATTCGTTCAAAAAATATCCAAAATTTCACAAGTCAAAATAATCCATCCAAAAATTATTTTAAAGTCTTACGGGTCTTTTAAAAAATATTTTAAAAATCCGCGAATCCTCCAGAATAATTCTACAAAAATATTTGAAATATTCTCGAGTCCTTTAAAGGGTAATATTTTCTAAAAATCAGGGCATTCAATTTTTAGTACATTTTAGCACTTTTCGTACCCTTTTAGTACAAATTTCAAAAAACCTAGCTTTTTAATACGCCTACGCAAAAATGATCGTCGTGCGAAATAAGTTTGCTATTTCATTTGTTACTCATCCAAATCAATAATTTTAGACCTATATGCTTTTAATCAGCTTAAAATTATGGACAGGCCCCCACATAACGGTACCTCAAGATTTTCGGTGCTTGGAAGGTTTCTGACACAATTTCCAACGAAATCAGCTGAATCTATCCCATTGGAGATAGTCTGGCAAATCTGTCGTCTCACTGAAAAAACAAAAAATATTTCCGCTAATTGCTAGACCCCTCATATAACGGTAAATCCCGATTTCGGTATTTTGAAGGTTTCAAAACCAATTTTCAACCAAATTAGATAATAATAAAGGTTTCGGGTTGATATTCTATGTTAAAATATTTTAATCTTTCATTATTTCTTTTTACTTTCATTATTTCATTATTTCTTTTACTTTCATTATTTCTTTTATAGTGGTGGAGGGTAAAAAAATTTCGGTCCGGCTGATCTCAAAGGAGTTTTTATTTGTTTTTTTTTTTTCTTCGATCGATTTTTCTGCATTTAATCACTTTTGTTTTGGATGGAGTAAGGAATTGGATATATTTTTAGAATATTGAACATATTTTTAGTATAGCCTCCAATTAGGCTGCCAATTTGGAGGATTTTCAAGATTTTGTCCGAATTTTTCCAAAGATTTTGATGCAATTTCTAAATTTGTAAAGGGTAAATTTTTTTCCATTCAGGTTGTTATTTTTTTTTTTTTTTTGTTTTTGAATTGAATTGAATGCCAAATGACATATTTGGAACAATTCCAGCTTAAACAAGTTAAAAAGCAGTAAGTTCGGCCGGGCCGAACTTTGAATACCCTCCACCATTTGGAACGAATTTGGAAATAAAATCCTGAAAAAATTTTGGTAAAATTTTAAAAATACCGAATATTGCCGTTATATTGGTGCCTATAGGACGTGGACCCACACAGGCATTATTTGTCATGAGTCATTACCAAATTCAAATTCGGAACTTGAAATAAACGCGAATAATGTAGCTAAAATCATCAAAGTATAGAATATAGGGAGGTACCGTTATATCAGAGCTGGGGGAAGACCTGAACCTGCGTAGACAATTTTTGTCATATTCTGTAGCATCCATTACGAACTTCAAATACGACATTTCAAACAACTTCGGTGAGTATTGTACCTAAACTCGTCAAAATACCGAATATAGGGAGGTACTGGTATATGGGGCCTATACGAAGACCTGGACCTGCATAGACAATTTTTTGTCACAGACTGGAGTTTCCATTACGAACTCTAAATGCGTAATTTGAAAAAATTTTGGTAAATAAAGACGCTAAAATCACCAAAATACCGAATATAGGGAGGTACCGTTATATGGGGGCTACACGAAGACGTAGACCTGAACAGACAATTTTCTGTCTTAGGCTGTAGTATCCATTGCGAACTTCAAATACCAAATTTTGAACAATTCCGATTAATAATGTCGCTAAAATCATGAAAATACCAAATATCGGGAGGTACAGTTATATGGGGGCTATACGAAGACGTGGACCTGCACAGACAATTTTCTGTCTTAGGCTGTAGTATCAATTTCGAACTTCAAATACCAAATTTGAAACAATTCCTGTGAATAATGTCGCTAAAATCATCAAAATATCGAATATCGGGAGGTACCGTTATATGGGGGCTATATGAAAACGTGGACCTACATGGCCCATTTACGAACTTAACCTGCCTACTGTAAAAATAAACCTGTGTGCAAAATTTTAGCTTTGTATCTCAATTCATTCGAAAGATAGCGTGATTACAACAGACAGACAGACGGACAGACTACGCTAAATCGACTTAGAATTTTACGCTGATCAAGAATATATATACTTTGTTGTGTCTGAGATGAGTATTTCGAGGAGTTACAAACGGAATGACAAAGTTAATATACCCTCCACAGTATGGTGGAGGGTATAAAATGAATATCTGAACCATTTCTTGACAATCCTTTGAGAGGACATTTTACCGATTTATGAAAAATGTGATAGAAAAGATGTCTAAATCCCTAAAAACGCTTTAAATTAGGCGGTACCATTCTATGGCGTATCATAAATTTTAGTCAAATTTCTGATATTGCATAACTTGTTTTCAAAAGGTTACAGAGAGCAATGTTTGAAATCCCAAAAAAAATTCCACAAATTTGTGGAACTTGTTAATTGATATGTATTTCCAAAACACCTGTTAGGGAGCGAACTATGACTCACAACACTACTGACTATTTGCACACCAACTGAGAAAGAAAAACAAAACTCAATTCAATAACAAAATCGATTCGTTCAACAAAAAGTTAACCATAGTTCTTTAATGTTTTCCCTGTTATTCGAAAACATTTGTAAACTAACGGCCGATAAGAGAAGTTTACGTCATTTAATCATGCCTCAATCTTATCAGACAATGCGATAACATAACTGCTCCCTTTATTTTGTTGATAATCCCCGAAAAATAATTGGGCCAACAAAAAAAGTTCAATCAAGGTGGCAAATTATTCCATCGACAGAACTCCAAGGGGGGACACGCATTTCTTCAACAACAATTATCAGGAAATAGTTCAGGTAAATAACTGTTCAACAATCTAAGATTCAAGTTTCCAATTAAATTTTTCATTAATGAAATTATCTGTAATTTTCCCTTCAATTTTCAGTTAATTATGGATTTCTATTACCTACCCCCCTCTCCGCCATGCCGTGCCGTGGATATGTGCGCCCAGGCAGTTGGTGTAACATTGAACAAGAAAATTGTCCACCTCATGGATGGTGAACACATGAATCCGGAGTTCTTGAAATTGAATCCCCAACACTGTGTACCCACGATTGTCGATGACGGATTCGTCCTGTGGGAATCTCGTCCCATACTCATCTATTTGGCTGAGAAATATGACAAATCCGGCCAGCTGTATCCCAAGGTACCCAAAACTAAGGCCATCATCAATCAACGTTTGTACTTTGATATGGGCATTTTCTTCAAAAGTTTCATGGACTATTATCGCCCGATTTTGATGTTCAATTTACCCGCCGATCCGGAAAAATTCAAAGAGGTACAAAATGCCTTTGAAATGTTGGACACTTTCCTCACCAGCAAACCGTATGTCGCCGACACGGACACATACACCATTGCTGACATTTCGTTGGTCTCCACCATGACCAACTTTGAGTCGGCCGGTTTCGATTACAGCAACTATCCGAATGTGGCCAAATGGTATGCGAATTGCAAACAGGTTATACCCGGCTATGAATGTTATCGACTGCAACGATATGAAATATTTTAAGCCCAGAAACTGAAACTAAAAAACTAGAGATGGAGAGTGAAGAATGAAAAACAAAAAAGAGATGGAAGAAAAACTATTTTTTTTATTTTGGCTTGAAGTTACTTTGCGGTAGTGAAATATTTTCTTATATTAAGAAAGGCAAAACGAAATCTGTAACATGACTTTAACCTGGAAAATTTGCTGAATAAATAAATGTTACACTCGAGTGGAAATTTAAGTCGAAATAAATGGAAATTGTGTTTTTTCAGGTTTATGGAAAATTTCCGAAAATAATTTAGGGATAAAAAGTGGTTCTCAGGGATATTTTTCAATTAAAACCGAGATAAGGTCCAACGACATACACAGGATAGTACACTACCATAATAAATAAATAAATGTCGAAAAAGCAGCCTTATCAGAGGCGACCGGGCCAAAGTGCCATCAATCTCAAACGTCACTTCTAATGTTGTTGTACGATGTTTGAGATCAGCTAAAACCATTTTGATTTTTGTTTAAAGAGCGGAAAATTCCAATGTGAGGTATAGCATTGGATCAGTACACTTATGCCCTGAAAGTATGGATTGTATTTTTAACAAGGAAAAAAATCAAGAATTTTTTAAAACATATTTTTCTAAAAAAATAAAATAAAAATAAGAAACTAAACCTGTTAAGAAAGGTTAAAAGTAGGTTGGAACCTACTTTACGATACCCTACACCACTATGTATGTTTTGTAGAACTACTCGTAACAAATAATCGTTTATATAGGGAATTTATGAGAAGCAGTGCATAAAAACTATGATAATAATACCCTCAGCCATATGGCTAGAGAGAGTATAAATCATTTGATACGGGCAAAACGTGTCTCATCGAATTAACGAATTTAGACCCTAAGTCTCTTTCAACCAAATCCGTTTCAGGACATTTGGAGTCGATTTAGCGATGTCCGTCCATCCGCCTGTCTTTCTGGCTGGAGCGCACGATAACTCTCTCTCTCTCGAAGGGAGTATTTGATTTAGTCCGAGCTCGGAGATGGGCAATATCGGTCGAGTGGTACCTGGTACCTACCCCACAAAAGGTCTAAATTTTGTAAAAAATATTTTACTGTACAGGATAATTCAATTAAGCTCCACCTTTGCAAAACCGAGTATTTGCGTTAGTTCAGGTCAGGTACGAAAATGGGCAATATCTGTGCACTCCATCAAGGGTCAATATTTTGAATTATTATAACTTTTATATAAAGCCCGATTATTTTTAAATTACACCCATCAAAATATTTGTATTAACTAATGGTCTGGTGTGAAAATGAAATGTATCGGTCTACTCCTTCTGGTACTTCCCCCACAAACGCTCATCACTTTGAATATCCATGAAGATCATAAAAAGCGAAATCAACATCCGATTCCATTCCAAGCATGGTACATCTCAATATTTCCATCAACAAAAAATCTGTTAAAAATATGTTAGAGATCGGTCCATTTATTTTGCTACCTGCACCACATAGGGTTCAAAATTTTGAAAAACAAAACGCTCAACGAAAGCGAAATAAGCTCCCCACTCTCTTCAAATTCCATACAAACAAACATTTTTGCTAACACAAGATCTGTTGTGAAGATGCTATATATCTGCGAACCCCTTCTGGTATCTCACCCACAAAGGGGACAAAATGTTCAATACTTTTATCTGTCATAACTTGCGAAACAAATCGGCGATTACTTAAAACTTGCTACATTTAAATATTTCCCTCAACTAGAAACCTGAGATGATTTATCATATAATTGATTTTCTTGTAATTTTGCCTATACTAATATCTACATAAGATGCAGTGTGAAAATGGAATACTTCGGTCGACCACATGTGACCCTCAAACACACTTTTAACATTTTCTAAAATGATCACATATCTCATATAAAGTGAAGGAAGCAGTCGATATAGTCCACACCTGACACGTCAAAATATTTATATCATATTTATTTAGATTCGATAATATTGCCCAATGGATAATATTGGCCCATTCCTTCAAAACCTACTCCATAGAGGGTCAACAATTTGAATAATCATAACAGAAATAAAAATATAATTAAATAATCGAATATTGGCTGAGGGTATAAATCAACCGGCTGATACTTTTTAACTTCTATTTTTTAAATTACGACCTTTTGTGGAGGAGGAACCAGAAAGAGTGGGCCGATATTGTTTATCTCCGAACTAGATCTAAGTTTGAAAATAATATTACGATGTACCAAGTTTGGACCAAATTGGATACTCCCTTCGAGAGTTATACTGCGCACCAACCAGCAAGCAGACGGACGAACGGACATTACTAAATCGACTCTAAATATCCCGAAATGAATTTGGTCCAAAGAAACCTAGGGTTTAAAACCGTTATTTCCCTGAACCACGTTTTGGGCGCATCAAATGACATATAACTTTAGTAGCCATATGGCTGAGGGTAGAATAATTGTTTTTCAAATTGAACTCCTGGAGAGGTTGGAAAGACCCCAACGAATCATTGAGTAAATCTTAAAATAATTTAAGATTTAAAATTAAATTAAATAAGCCCAGTAAAAACTAATTTTCAAGTAATAAAAAATGCTGTTAGAATATTAATAAGAAGATTTGTTTTGCACCAATATTTCCTCGTGTTTTTTTTTTAAGAATATTCACTTTGTGAAAAACTATCCAATTTGGTCGTATGTGGTTAGTTATCTGATACTTTCGCAGCAATTTATTTGTTTCAATTTAAAAACATAATTCAGTCTCTTAACAATTGTATGAACAATTTTCTTCGAGTTTATAGCAAAAACAAAAAAAATCATACTTGGGAAACTAGTTTCAATAGCAGCCCACACAATGCCGGCAATTGTTTCCATTCACTTAAATCTGGACACATTTTCACTTCCACATGCAGTTTTAAGTGGTTCACCCTCCATTGCCGATTTAAAGGTGAAGATAAAAACCAAAAATATGTTGGAATGCTAAAAGCACACACAGAAATAAAAGGAATTTGGGGCAGTAGAGAAAATAATTCCTTGCATATCTATTTTAAGGAGCCTATTTGAACTACAAAAAAAAAAAAAAATGATGGAATTCAAAGTTGTAATTTACTCGAAATTGTAATTTACCTCATAGAAAGAGAAATAAACTTTCGATTGTGTTAAAATTTAGCAAAAATAGACAATATCAGCTTACTCCCTCTAGTAGCTCTCCAACAAAGGGTTAACATTTTGAATAATCATATGTTCTAATGAATATGAAGAAAGAGTCCCATTGTCTTTAAATTTCACACATTCCAATAATTCCAACAAAACAAGATCTGGTAAGAAGAACGCTTAGAATGGACTCATCCTTCTCTCACACTCTCTACACAAAGGAAGAACATTTTCATAAAACCGATATGAGCAACCGATTTTTAATATTTCTAACATCTAGTGTGAGGAAATATAGGTCCACTCCTTCGAGTACATCCCCGCAACGGATAAATATTTTGAATTAACATAGCTCTCTTAACACGAGAAAAAAAGTCATCGATTTTTTTTTCAAACAATCTGTATTTCAATATTTCTATCAACAATAGATCTAACGTAAATATGGATTAGGTCGAGCTACACTTCACAACTTTACACATTCCAATATTTCTATCAGTATTAGATAAAATGTTAATAAGGAATAAATCGAGCCCTATATATCCATTGATAGATTACCGATACAATATCCGAATTAGGAAGGCATAACGAAAATCGCTACAAAAATAAATTTGCCAAATTATATGGAAATCAGTTGAGGTTCGGAAATATCTCCCATATATGTCTTCGGCCGATTTCATATATCAAATGCACTAAACACATGTATTTCTGATTCCAATAAAATTCGGACAGAGAGACGAAATTTTGTACCAAAAAATTTGCAATATTATATTGAAATCGGCAGAGGTTTGGTGGGTATAGTTCCTATACATATTTTCTGCCGATTTCATGTACAGGGTGAGATAAAAAACCTGCAACAAAGTCAAAGACCATAATTTTTACATTTTTTTTTTTTTAATTTTATTGCATGAAAGCTAAAAATGTCGGAAATAGCATCAAATTTTAGAACAAGTTTAGATTTGTTCGAATTGGTCACCTTTGGCACGAATTTTGGCCTTCAAACGGCCAAGGAAACCGCCACAAGCTGCCCGAATGTTGCTATTGCTTTTCAAAATACTCCAGACACAATAGGCCAACGGATTGGTATCCGAAGATTTTGGTGACCATTATGCGCTGAACATGAAGCGAGGAACCTCATTTTGTAACCATTCTTGGGTGGCGCGTGCTGAGTGCAATGCTGCAGAGTCCTGTTGGAATGTCCAAGGTCTGCGGCCGATAATATTCGGCATTTATTCTGATGCTACGGTCGATTAATACGAGCGGAGAGCGACCGTCGGCTGTTATGGCGGCCCACACCATCACCATGGCCGACGCTTGAGTTCTGGAGGCCAACCGAAGGCAAGTAAACGCGATAATTTTGTTTGTTTACAAACTGCTGGACAACGAATGTTTTCTCATCGGAGAAAATCAAATTCGGCAGTTCACAACCACCTTTCGACCAAGCGAATCAACTCCTTGGGTCTATTTTCTTTATGCTATGGTGCAAGTTCTGGCACTTTTTGGAATTGCAATGGCTTTACCCCGAGCTCATTTTATAATATTTGCCGAATGGCATATTGGCACTACGACGCGGGTCTCGATCAAGTCGCTTCTTTACTTTTCGAACCATTTCTGTTGATGTTGTAGTTTTCTTCCGTCCACTTACTTGACATCGGGCTACGCTACCAGTATCACGGTAACGAGCGATGGTACGAGACACAAACGATTCATTCACATTTAAATGCTGGAGTGCTCTAACGATAGCCACTTGTGGTTTTCTAGCCAAATATAAAGAAATCACATTATCACGCTTGAATTCCATTACGAATAACTTTTTTTCTAGAAAATTCTCACCAAAATGCTTTGCTACGCTTGTAAACAATATAATGAGCTGTCACTGGAACAATTTTAACAGCTGTCGGACAAGTGGTTTAGAAATGACAGCAGTCTGAAGCTAATTGCAATTTTTTCATCTCACCTTATTTTCATATCTCTTATCCAAAAATCTCGGAATTTATGTTTTCCTATAAACATTACATATTTGAAGTGGAATATTTCGGCCCGCCAAATTTGGAATTTTCGCTTATTTCCACATTTACCAAAAATTATAACATATCTCATATAAACTATAGGAAGTAGACGATATAGTCCAAATCTGGCACATTGTAATATTTATATCGGACTTGTGTCAGATACGAATCGAACAATATTGGCCAACTGCTTCAGAACCTCTCCTCTCAAGGGTCAATATTTTGAATACCCATAACTCCAAGCGGGTGGTATACATCTATCGGCAAAACCGACTGATACTTTAGGTTAGATGCGAAATAGCTCACTCCTTTGATACCTCCCAAAAAAAAAAAAAACACAATATTTTGAATCGTAATGCTGGTAAAAATATATAGTAAAATAAAGAAGGGTTAACCTTTGTCACTGAAATCGAATGACTCCTTTTAACATTTTTTGTCTTTTAATAGTTTAAAAGGCGTAGTTCTACAGCTAATTTCCAAAAATTCCTCAACTTTGCGCACTCTGTCTTTGGAAATTTTCCATGAATCACGCATAATTTAGTATTTATAGCAATATCGAAACTTGCGTGAAGATAGGTTCCACAAACGGTAAACATTTTTAAAAATCATACGTAAGGTAAAAAAGAGAAAGAGGTTTACCGTTTCATCCACACTTCGCACATATATCAGGTTCATACATCTAACTTGTTACCTTGTTGTTTTGTTTCAGTTTATGAGTTCTGGTCAATTTTATTGCAAAACAAACAAACACGTTTGGAAAGAGTTCGTTTCTCTTCCTGATTATTACACAATAATCTGCTCTGGGTGGCTCTCCAGCAGATATCTAACATTAACTCAAATATTTTGTTATCAGAAACGTGTCAACATTCAATTTAAAAAAACAATTCTAGTCAGTTGTGCATCGAACATCTTCCAGAACGGACAACAAGTAGCTCCCAACAAATATAAACAACAAGTAAGTGGTTTATTCGATACAAAATAATAATTATTTATTTTTGCATACATTGCTATCTGTATTGTATCCTCAATAATTAAATGATTTTGAGTCATAACTAGATAATGACAAAAAAATTAAAAAAAATCCTAATTTCTTAAACAGTTTTTTTACAAATTTGGAGAAAGTCTCGATTTTTTTAAATTAAAAAATTTCTAAAAAATGTTTTTCTTTAAATTTTGAAAAAATCGTTTTTTTTAAATTTTTAAAAATTTTATAAAAAAAATAAATTTTAATTATTATTTAAAAAATTATATAATTAATACAGACTAGTAAATAAAATAGTTAATAAAATTTCAATATTTTTTGAAAAAAAAAAAATAGAAACAAAATCCTAATTTCTTGAACAGTTTTTTTTTAAGTTTTGGAAAAAATCTCGTTTTTTAATTTATAAAAATTTCAAAAAATATATAACTATTTTTTTAAATTTTGGAAAAAATTAGAATTTTTTAAATTTCTAAAAATTTCAAAAAATTTATAACTATTCTTTCATGTTAATTTATTATATTATACATTTTTGAAAAAGTCGTAAATTTTTTTTTGTTTTATTGTGTTGTAAAATAGTTAGGTTTCATCCCTGTTTTTTGTTAATTTAAAAAACAAGGTTTATTAGTTGGTGGAGAAAAATAGAAAATTTTAATTTTTTCTTTCATAAAATGCTAAGTCTTGAAACCGATAGGGCCAAGATCTGTTCTGCAACCAAAAACATATTTCCCCTCCAATTAATCAATTAAAAATTCCTTTCTTTTCAGCCATGGATTTCTATTATCTACCCCTTTCGGCTCCCTGTCGTTCAGTGATAATGACAGCCAAGGCTCTTGGCATTGAGTTGAACAAAAAATTACTTAATCTCTTCGAGGGTGAGCACATGAAACCAGAATTCCTAAAAATCAATCCTCAACACACCATTCCTACTCTGGTGGACAATGGCTTCGCCATGTGGGAATCTCGTGCCATTATGGTGTACTTGGTAGAGAAATACGGCAAACAGAATGACCCTCTGTATCCCAGTTGCCCCAAGAAGCGTGCTCTCATCAATCAACGTCTCTATTTCGATATGGGAACGTTGTGGAAAAGTTATGCCGATTATACTTATCCCCAGTTCAGAGAGAACAAACCAGCCGATCCAGAATTATTTAAGAAATTCGAGTCAGCTTTGGAGTTCTTGAACATATTCCTGTCACAATCGAAATATGCTGCTGGTGAAACCATGACCTTGGCCGATTTGGCCATCTTGGCTTCGGTTAGTACCTTTGATGTTGTCCAAATGGATCTCAGCAAATATGAACACATTTTACGGTGGTACAATATGCTCAAGGATACGGCACCGGGTGCTGCTGAAAACTGGGCCGGTTGTTTGGAAATGAAGAAATATTTTAAGAAGTGAATAATTTGAATGAATAGATGGAACATACGAGTGTATATAAATATTAATAAATAGAAAACGAATAAAACTTTTTCTGAGTTGAAGTTTGTCATTTTATTTAATGGTGAGTATTCAAGATATCACGGTGCCGTGAGGTAGTCTACAATATGTGATAGGTTTTGGGCTTTAAAAGACCCCATCGGCTAAGTGAGTGCAAAAAAAAAATATTCGTCGAAGATCAGCCTTTTTCGATTTTCTTAGATGATTTTGTTTTAAAATTGGTAAACTCATAAAAGTGGACAGACATATCTTGTATTTTTTAAATGAATGGTGTAATTCAAAGCTCTATAACAATTTTTCAAAGCTCTATATTAAATTTTGCGAAATATAACTTAAATTATTGTGGCTCTTTTATGTGGTTAATTTTATATGAAATTCCCAGAAATTTGTCCTGAAAACCGGGTTTTGAACACCAATAAATCCACTGGAAATCTCCCACATAACAGATTTACTGTTTATGGTGAAATGTTAAGAAAGTTTGCTGCCAATTCGCAAAAAAAGATCAACAATTTTCGCAATATATTCACGCCAATCCTTGTGTTAATAGAAATATAATATTGTGCGAAGTTAAGAAAGAATCAGCTGCGTATTTCAATTTTTATGAGATATATAACACTATTGAAAATGTTGACCTGTGTTGAGCCAATATATACCATCCACATCGTACATTTTCTGTTGATAAAAATATTGAGACGTGCGAAATTTGAAGACAATTTGACTATTATTTCACACTTTATAAGAGTTATAATTATTCAAAATGTTGACCCTTTTGTGGGGGAGCTACTTGCTGGAATAGACCGATATATTCCATTTTCGTACATGACCTGCACATTAGATATGCAAGGTTTGCTTAGAACTGGGCGATCCTTTCCCATAATATATTATAGAGGATGAGATAAAAAAATGCAACAAAGTCAAACGCCATAATTTGTACATTTTTTTTTTTAAATTTTATTGAATGAAAGCAAAAAATGTCGGAAATAGCATCAAATTTAAAAAATAAGTATAGATTTGTCGAATTGCTCACCTTCGGCACGAATTATGGCCTTCAAACTGTCAATGAAACCGTCGCACGCAGCCCGACTGTTTCTCTGCATTATTTTGGCCTATTCCCGACAAAGCGTTTGCATGAGGTGATCGACACTTGTATTTTTTAGTGCCAACCTTGCTTTCCAAAATACTCCAGACACAATAGTCCAACGGATTGGTATCCGGAGATTTTGGTGGCCATTGTGCTCTGAAATGTAACGATTCTTGGGTGGCGCGTGCTGAGTGCGATGGTGCTGAGTCCTCTTGGAATGTCCAAGGTCTGCGGCCAAAATGTTTGCGTGCCCAAGGCTTGTATTAAGCCCCTCCAGAACATTTCTGTCGACGCCGACGCTTGAGTTCCGGTGACCAACCGAAGGTGCACATTTTGAGCTCACTTCTTTGCCAAGTAAACACGATCATTTTGTTTGTTTTTAAACTGCTGGACAACATTTATTTTCTCCTCTGAGAAAACCAAATTCGGCAGTTCACCACTTTCGGCCATGCGAAGCTTTACCTCGAGCTCGTTTTTCAATATTTGCCGAATGGAATATTGCGACATGTTCAGCTCACGAGCCATTTTTCGGTCACTGCGACGCGGGTTTCAATCAAGTCGCTTCTTTACTTTTCGATACCAAAAGTCCTGCAGAGGAATCACACATTTGATTAACATTTTATCAACCAACTTCCATTTGTTCGGAATATAGAGACAGACAGGCAGACAGAAGTGTTACAAACGGAATGAGAAATTTAATATAACCTCTATACTATAGTGAAGGGTATGAAAAACGAAACGTATGTAAGCTATTTAAACCAGAGATTCCAAAAAGGCAATAGCTAATAAGCAGAAAGTAAAGAAGCTGTAAGTTCGGCCGGCCGAACTTTGAATACCCTCCACCATTTGGAACGAATTTGGCAAATTTTCAAAAAATAAAATCCGTTAAAAATTTTGTTAAAATAAAAGAAATAAATAAAAACTAGGGAAGGAAGTCTTAAAGTCGGGCGGGCCGACAACAATTAAAAGTTCATATACGCTATGATTATAATTCAAGGTTCAAAGGAATGAATATGCCGAAGCAGTTGTATCTTTTAAATTCGGACTTGTATTGCCCATTTGGTGCACAATTAATTTAAAATCGGATAAAGATATATATGGGAGATATATCCAAATCGGAACCGATTTCAATAAAATTTGGCAAAGATATTTCTGAGCTGTATTTGATATATTTCCCTGATTATCGTTGTTACGGAGTGCATATTACGGCTGTATATATTGGAGCTATAGCTATATCTGAACCGATCTTAACCAAATTTGACATACTAGCTTCTAGACTCAATTCGGTCGTAAGTGCCAAATTCCATCCCATTTGGGCAAATATTAGACATTTGGTGCACAATAAAAGTGAAATCGGTCGAAGTTTTATATGGGAGCTATATCCAAATCTGAACCGATCTCGATAAAATTTGGCATACTTATTTTCAGGACTAATTTCGTTGTATGTGCAAAATGTTATACTGTTCCGGCTGATATTACACGTTTGCGAATCGGAAGCGAATCGGATGAAGATATATATGTAAGCTATATCTAAATTTTTACCGATTATCTCCAATTTCAATAGGGTTCGTCCTTGGGCCAAAAAAATGATTTGTGCAAAATTTCATCTGGTTAGGGCAATAAATGCAAACTCTACTTTGTTTAAAACAAAAATACATGGACAGACGGACCCTGACCATATATATATATATATATATATATATATATATATATATATATATATATATATATATATATATATATATATATATATTATATATATATATATATATATATATATATATATATATATATATATATATATATATATATATATATATATATATATATATGTATATGTATATATAGATGAGGTCTACGACGAATATTTAGGGATGTTACAAACGGAATGACAAAGTTAATATACCCTCCTTTTCAAGGTAAAGGGCATAAAACTAGCTTCGTCAAATTAAGTAAGTTCTATCCGATTTCTAATTTCAAGCTTTCTAAAGCCGTAACGCGTATTAAATAACGACCAAACTTAGTTGAATTCGTTCATACAATTCATACAAATTCCTAATATAGAAGGTAATTTGTAACATGTAGCTCTGCGGTGTGATGTAGGGTGACAAAAAGTCGGCACGACTAACTTTTGTACTCTATTTACTGGTTCTTAATAAATTTCCATTTAATTGTGTGTTAATGAGATATGTGCGAACATATGGCTCCCCATTTTGTGTCATATTTTTCTCTCGCAATGCCCCAATATTACTTGCAACATTTTTACTCAAATCTGTTAACACTGGAGTAGCATGTATGCTATACATCTCTTCAGATGTGTTTGATGTTTGCTATGGACTCCATGTGTGCGGAATCAATTTTTCCATTTCACACAGTACATTTTGGAAGAGTGCCCACTTCGATTGTCTCTCTTACTCACTATCTCAAATATTTATTTACCACTAGCTCTCTTCAGTCACGCACTCACACCAATTGCCAGTTGTGAAGGAAATATCTGAAGGGACTGACGCACATTTTCCGTAGCATAACATTTGTTATCAAAAGGTAAGCAAAAAAACGATTATTGAGAAAGTTTTTGTTATTTCCTGTTAAGAAGTAATAATTTCAAAACAAGTGGAACTGAGTAAATCATAATTAATGTAAAGAGAATAATAAGTAATTTTAATCTTTTAAAATCGGCATTAAGGTATAACAGTTTTATAAACTAAACTACTGGAAATTTATAGAAGGTACAATCATCGCTAGAAAGTTGGCAGATAGATTATTTTAGAATTGAAAAGAAAAAAAAAACATATCTTATCTTGAATTGAACTTTTGTAAGCAGGCCAATTACCGGTCTATACCAAATTCAGACACATTGACATACAAACAATTACTTTACTTCCATCAAAAAGACAATAATTAATTGGAATAATCGGAATTTTCACTTCACTTTACAGCCATGGATCTGTACTACTTCCCCATTTCCTCGCCCTGTCGATCGGTGCTAATGACTGCCAAAGCTTTGGGCATTGAGTTGAACAAGAAACCTCTTCGGGTTTTCAAAGGTGAACAGTTGGCTCCCGAATTTCTAAAAATCAATCCTCAACACACCATACCCACCCTGGTCGACAATGATTTTGTGCTCTGGGAGTCGCGTGCCATTATGATTTATTTAGTTGAAAAATATGGCAAACAGGATGATCCCCTATATCCCAGCTGTCCCAAGAAGAGGGCTCTGATCAATCAACGCCTATACTTCGATATGGGAACTCTGTACAAAAGTTATTCGGATTATTTTTATCCTCAGGTTAAACAAAATAAACCAGCCGATCCAGAGTTGTTGAAGAAAATCTATGCCGCTTTGGAGATGTTCAATACATTGTTGGCAACATCGAAATATGCTGCTGGTGACACGTTGACTTTGGCTGATTTGGCCCTATTGGCTTCTGTCAGTACAATGGATGTCTATGATATTGATGTGCGTAAATATGAGAATGTTGCCAGATGGTATGATTTAGTTAAGGAAACTGCGCCTGGTGCCGATGAAAATTGGGCTGGATGTTTGGAGAGGAAGGAGTTTTTCAAAACATTGAAACAACAACAATGATGTACCAAAAATAATTAACCACCAATAAAAGTATTAACTTATACTGAAATGTTTTTGTATCTGTGGTGATGATGTTCTATAGTATGGCAGTAGTTCCATGTCAATAGTAATTTAATGTCTTATTTTTAATTGTGGCAGGAATATGTTCTGTTCTCATGTATTTTTGTAAAGAAAGTACAGGTACGATTTATTGCCCGATCGAAATGAAACATCGCATAAAACATTTATTTGGCCCAAGAACGAACCCTATTGAAATTTGAGATAATCGGTCAAAATTTAGATATAGCTCACATATATATCTTCGTCCGATTTGCCTTTTATTGTACACCAAATGCGTTATATTAATCCAAATAGGATGGAGTTTGGCACATACGACCAAATTGAATCCAGAAAAAACTATGTCAAATTTGGTGGAAGTCGGTTCAGGTATAGCTATAGCTCCCATATATATTCTTCATCCGATTTGTTAAATATTCCGGTAAATACATCATATACAGCTCAGAAATATCTTTGCCAAATTTTGTATAGATCGGTTCAGATTTGGTTATAGCTCCCTTATATGTCTTTATCCGATTTCAAGTAAATTTGGTATTGGGAGTTCGTAAAATGTGCCACCTGCTATAAAAGAAAAAGCATACACAGGTACACGTACTTTTATAGCCCCATATTAGGGTATCTCCAGATATTTGGTATTTAGAGTTCATAACGGGCTCTCTGGCGGCAGAACGTTGTCTGTAAAGGTCCCTCTTTTACGATTGGATCTATGTAACGCTATCTTCGGATTTTTACATTTTCAATCTGATTTGTCTAATTTGGCATTTGTAGTTCGTGAAGAATTCTAGTTACGTTGGTAGAATATAGTGTATGTAAGTCCGCGTTTTTCTATAGCGTCCATAAAAAACCACCTTGTACCCACAAAAGGTCCAAATTAAAAAAATATATATATTTTACTGCACAGAAGGAAAAAGGATAATCCGATAAAATAAAATTAGCTCGAGGTAAAGCCATTGAAATTCCAAAAAGTGCAAGAACTTACACCGCAACAGAATGGAAATACTCTTAAAAGAGCTATAGAGTTGCTTAGCTTGGCCGAAAGTGGTGAACTGCCGAATTTGGTTTTCTCCGATGAGAAAACGTTGTCCAGCAGTTTGTAAACAAACAAAATGACCGTGTTTACTTGCCAAAAAGCAGCTGGTCAGCTGTAAATGTGCACCTTCGGTTGGCCACCAGAACTCAAGCGCCGGCCATGGCGATTGTGTGGGCCGCCATAACAGCCGATGGTCGCTCTCCGCTCGTATTAATCGACCGTGGCATCAGAATAAATGCCGAATATTATCACGAAAATATTCTGGAGGCTGTATTAAAGCCTTGGGCACGCAAACATTTTGGCCGCATCATCGCACTCAGCACGCGCCACCCGAGAATGGTTGCAAAATGAGGTTCCTCGCTTCATTTCCAGCGCACACCACCAAAATCTCCGCACATCAATCCGTTAAACTATTGTGTCTGGAGTATTTTAGAAAGCAAGGTTGGTACTAAAAAATACCAAAGTTTCGATCACCTCAAGCAAGCGCTTAAATTCGGCGGGAATGGATCAAAATACCGCAGAGTAACATTCGGTCGGGGTGTGACGGTTTCATTGGCCGTTTGAAGGCCATAATTCGTGCCAAATGTGACCAATTCAAATAAATCTAAACTTATTCTAAAAGTTCGTACTATTTCCGATATTTTTTGCTTTCATTCAATAAAATTAAAAGGAAATGTAAATATTATGGCGTTTGACTTGTTGCAGTTTTTTTGTCTCACCCTGCATGTCTCATTTATATCTTCCATCGGATGTTGTATTTAAGTCCCTCACAGCCGTTAAATGCCCTTCATAACAACGATAGATGATCCCAGTTCTCAGATGCAGCATGAAAATACCTCTGCTAAATTTTATAGAGATCGGTTCAGATTTGGATATGGCTCCCATACATATCTTCATCCTATTTAACGTGAACTGTGCCTTAAAACTAAAAAAAACGAACTTGAAATACTAAATTTAAAATAATTTCGACGAAAAGTGTGACAAAAATCATCAAAATACTGAATACCCGGAGATACCAAATCTTGGGCAGATATGAACAATTCTATGCAAGTAAATTTCTTATAGACTGGAAAGAAAAAATGCCAAAAGACCTTAAATCTGCTGGTATAGTTATATGAGGTCAATGCGAAAAAATGGACCTACATATATCACCCAATTAAAATACCAAAAGTTCTGATATACCTTGTGGGATCTAAAACGTATATTTCGAGACTGAAAAACTTTAAAGACCATCAATACTATGGTGAAGGGAATAAAGGCAGTGCGAATGCCGCTAAAACTATTAAAATACCGATTATAGCGAGATGCCATTATATGAGTCGAGAAATACCTTTTAAATGGGGGCTATACTAAGACGAGGACCTACATACACAAGTTGTTATTAATAGGCTGTAGTACCCATTAGAAACTGCAAATACTAAATTTAAAAAAATCCATGAAATAATGCCTGTAAAGTCATCAAAATACCGAATATCGGGAGGTACCGTTACATGGGCCAATACGAAATGGCGGATCTGCATAAGGCTGTGGTATCTCTTACGAACTTTAAATGCGAAATTTGAAACAATTCCAGTTAATAATGACGCTGAAATCATAAAAATACCGAATATTGAGATGTACCGTTATGTGGGGGCTATATGAAAACGTAGACCGACATGACCCATTTGTGAACTTAAACTGCAGACTGGCAAAATAGACATGCGTGCAAAATTTTAGCCTTTCATCTCAATTGAGCGTTACAAGAAGTTACAAGAAAGGTTGGACATTTTTTGTTTGTTTCCATGCCTGATCTAGGTCTGACATAAATATTAAGATGTGCCAAGTTTCAGCTCATTCGGATGTTATTTAATTTTTTTGGGAAAATATTTATTTTTTAAATTTTGAACTTTTTGTGGAGTGGTATTAGAAGGAGTGGACCTATATTGGTCATCTTCAAAGGGATCTTAGATTAGTAAAATATTACGATGTACAACGTTTGCGTTAAACCCTAAATATTTTGCGATCATCTCAAAAAGCTTCTAATCTGACCATCTCCATGTAAAATTTCGCGAGGATCCGGTCATAATTGGACAGACGGACGGACGGACATACATAGCTAGATCGACTCAGCTCGGCGATATTTCGAGGTGTTACATAATTTTTTGCTCAATCAAACTTATAATACCCCCCAAAACGTAGTGTTGTAGGGTATAAAAATTTATTTGTATGTTTTGTATGTGCTAAAAGAAAATATTTCTGAACTATTTCAGGCCAACTCTAATATAAAAACATTTTCAACGACAAGTTACTTTCTAGAACAACAGAGACGTTTTTGAAAATGTTTCTGTTTATCATAACAATTTAATTAGGTTTGCAATATTGAAAAAATCACAAGGCACCAGAATTATTTAATGCAAATTTCCAGATTTATTTATTGGATATTTACCTTTTTTGTCAATATTAATTGGTTTCATACAAAAAAATAATGTTTTAAGAAAATATTGGCAAAACAATGAATACACAAAAAAGGCAAGACCATTTTAAAATTCTTGTTGCGTTGTGTAGTTCGTTTTTGGCTTCTAATTAATTGGCACTTTTGGGAGAGCGTCTCATCTTCTATACATATTTACACGAAAACTATTCTCTCGCAGACTCTCTTACTAATAACAAAAACCAACAATAAATTAATTTAAACATTTAGTTGTCAAAAAAACTATTTTAACCATGTATTCGATCCCACAGGCAATCAGTCGCCAAGCATATTTCTAGCAGAGCAGACCGGCACATTTCCCCGAAATATCTCAAAACAAACAAGTAAGTGGTCATGGAAAAATTTTAGAATTCCAATGATTCCATAAAAACTATTTTTGGAACACATTTTTTTAATTGTTATTGTTTTTTAATAATCGATTTTTCTTTTCTTTCTTTATCTGCGTTTACCCAGCCATGGATTTCTATTATCTACCCCTTTCGGCTCCCTGCCGCTCAGTCTTGATGACAGCCAAAGCTCTTGGCATTGAATTGAACAAGAAATTACTTAACCTCTTCGAGGGTGAACATTTGAAACCCGAATTTTTGAAGATCAATCCTCAACACACCATTCCCACTCTGGTGGACAATGGCTTCGCCCTGTGGGAATCTCGTGCCATTATGGTATACTTGGTGGAGAAGTATGGCAAGCAGGATGATCCCTTGTATCCCAGTTGCCCCAAAAAACGTGCTCTCATCAATCAACGTCTCTACTTCGATATGGGTACCTTGTATCAAGGTTTTGCCAATTATTTCTATCCCCAATTCAAGGAGAAGAAACCCGCCGATCCAGAGTTGTTCAAGAAATTTGAGGTTACTTTGGATTTCTTGAACACATTCCTGTCTGAATCGAAATATGCTGCCGGCGATTCTTTGACCTTGGCCGATTTGGCTCTCTTGGCCTCGGTTAGTACCTTTGAAGCTGTCAACATTGATGTTAGCAAATATGAACATATTGCCAGATGGTATGCCTTGGTCAAGGAAACCGCACCGGGTGCTGATGAAAACTGGGCTGGTGCCTTGGAAATGAAGACTTTGATTCCCAAGTAAATTTTGTGTATTTTTTTTTCTTTTTTGTGAAAATATGTGCGAATATTTTTTTAAATTATTTTTTTGGAAAATAAATTATTTTTAGTTGAAATTTAGAGAGTTTAATGGTGTTTTATATTTTTTTTTGTGCTCAGTGAAATTATCTAAATTTGTATTGTGGATTTTAGGCTGTTTGTGCAATAGTGATATTTCCGTTTTTTTCTTGAAGAATATGAATGTAATTAATTTATAGTGATCTTATTTATCTTTGAAACACACCCAAAGAAAATTAGTCCACAAAAAAAAAAAAAAAAAAAAATTAAATAAATTAATAAACAATTAACAAGTAAGTTCGGCCGGGCCGAACTTTTTATACCCTCCACCATTTGGAACAAACTTGAAAGATTTTAAAAAAATTTCGTCGGAATATACCACTAAAATGAAAACCGTTACATGGGGGCTATATGAAAACGTGATCCTGCATAAGTAATTTGTGTAATAGGCTGTAGTAATTGTTCCGAACTTTTTATACGAAATTTAAAACAACTCCGGTGAATAATGCCGTAAAAATCATAAAAATACCTACTGTCTGGGAACGTGGAACTATTTAGATAATTCCCTTCTAGGAGATAAAGTGCTCACAAGGAACTTCTTGTGAGAATTTGTAGACCATTCCATTGAAAACCGTGGCTTAAATCATCAAAATGCCGGATATCGGGGGTACTGTCATAAGGGGGCTATACGATAACGTAGACCTATATAGACAATTCTATTTTAGGGGGTAAAGTACTCAGAACGAACCCCTTGTGTGAGTTTTAAGACGATTCCATTACAAAATTGTCTGAAAGCATCAAAATACCGAATATCGTGTGGTACCGTTATATGGGGGATATACGATATCGTGGACCTATATAGAAAATTCTCCTTTAGGAGGTAAAGTACTCATAAAGAAATCCTTGTGTAGAATTTCAGACAATTCCATTGAAAAAGGTGGGTAAAATCATCCAAATACCGAATATCGGGCGGGGCTATACGATATCGTGGACCGATATAGCCCTTCTTCGAACTTGACCTGTTTGCAGACAAAATACAGATCTGTGCTAAATTTTAGCTTCCTATCGTAATTCGTTTTGACTCTAGCTAAATCGGCTAAATCGTCTTAGAATTTTACGCTGATCAAGAAAATATATAATTTGTTGGGTCTAAAATTATTATTTCGATGAGTTACAAACGGAATGACGAACTTAATATACCCTCCATACTATATATGGTGGAGGGTATAAAAATAAGAGAAACATTTTGCCGAATATACCAGAATCTTCCACTTGTATATAATTAATGTTGTCTCCGACTGCTGAAGTTTAGATAAGCATGCATATCTTGATGTAGAGCTTTGTAATCTATCACAGACATACATGTTCTTATCTATAGAGAGTGGGGGTGAAATAAGTTCAATCAAATTGGCTTGAGTATGTTTCACCGCAAAAAGCAACCATAACATGTTGAAGCCAGTGGTTCCATTTTTAAAAGAAAAAAATTGAAAAAAAAAAACTTCTTTAAAAAATCTAATAGCCCAAAGAAGAATATTTTTGAACACACGTTGCAATCGCATGAAACATTTTGGGATTTCATTTAAATCATTTCATAACTTAGAAAACTTTATCCCAAACTTTATCGAACTTTGAATACCTACCACTATTCAGAAGGAATTTCCAAATTTCCCAAAAAAAAAACGTTGAAAAACACTGCTAAAATGATGAATATACCGAATATAGGAAGGTGCCGTTATATGAGGCTAATACGAAGACCTGGACATGCATAGACAATTTTCATTACGAACTTCAAATGCGAAGTTTGAAACAATTCCGGTAAATAATGTCGCTAAAACTATCAAAATACCGAATATCGGCGAGTACCGTTATATGGGGGCTATTCGAAAACGTGGACCTGCACAAACAATTTTCTGTCATAGGCTGTAGAATTCCTTGCGAAATTCAAATACCAAATTTAAAATAGTTCCGGTAAATAACATCGATAATATCATCAAAATACCTAATATCGGGAGGTACCGTTATATGGGGGCTATACGAAGACGTGGACCTACATGGCTCATTTTCTGTCTTAGACTGTAGTATCCATTACGAACTTCAAATACCAAATTAGAAACAATTCCGCTAAATAATGCCGCTAAAATCATCAAAACACCGAATATCGTAGGGTGCCGTTATATGGCGCCTATATGAAGACGTGGACCTACATGGCCCATTTTCAATACCAAAAGTCCTGCAGATATAATACACTTTTGAGTAAATTTTTATTAACTTACTTCATTTCGTTCGGAAGCTAGAGTGATTTCCACAGACGGACAGACAGAAAGACGGACAGACGGACGGATATTGATAAGTCGACGTAGAATTGTATGCTGATCAAAAATACATATACCTTGTGGGGTCTAAAATGTATATTTCGAGGTGTTACAAACGAAATGACAAACTTAATATACCCTTCACACTATGGTGGAGGGTATAAAAGGTGACACAAATCATCAAAATACCGAATATCATGAGGTAGAGTTATATGGGAGGGCTATACAAAGCCTAATGCAACGATCGATTAATACGAGAGGAGAGCGACCATCGGCTGTTATGGCGGCCCACACCATCATCATGGCCGGCGCTTGAGTTCTGGTGGCAAACCGAATTTTCAGCTGACCTCTTTGTTTTCTCATCGGAGAAAACCAAATTCGGTTTCATTTTTGGCCAAGCGAAGCAATTTTTTAGCTCTTTTGAGTCTATTTTCTTTCTGTCGCGGTGTAAGTTCTTGCACTTATTGGAATTTATTTGGCTTTACCCCGAGCTCATTTTTCAATATTTGTCGAATGGAATATCGCGATATGTTCAGCTCACGTGGCATTTCTTTACTTTTCGAATCATTTCTGCTGATGTTGCTGTTTTCTTCCGCCCACTTCCTTGACGTCGGGTTACGCTACCAGATCACGGTTACGACAATGCTACCAGACACAAAAGATTTATTCACATTTAATTGCTGGAGTGCGCTAGTCAGCTGTCACTGAAATAATTTTAACATAAAGAATAAATATGAGAATCTTGGCTAGAAAGTCCTTCAAAATCTTCAAAAAAGCAACAACTCAGGATGATTAATAGAGAATCCACGAATTTTTCCAGTACCTAGTTAATATTTGTCACTTCGTTGGCATTTTTACGAAAATCATTATTTTTCTGTAAAATTCGCTCTTTGTCGGGGAGGTAGCAGAAAAATTGGACTTTTGTTTTTCATTTATAGGAACTAAGCCATCGATGTTTCTTTGATCGACACTAACTGTTACTTAATCGTATATTTTATGCATAACATTTTTAAAATCTAGGTCAGTTTTGGGGGAATAGGCAGACGGATGGATTGAGGTAGACAGGCAGATAACTGCATAGAAATCAAAAAAATTAATATTAAACCCTCCAAATTTAATCGATATGTTTCAACACAATTATGAAGTAAAATTTTCATAACCAGCCAAATCGATATGGCAAATGGTATGACCCCCTCACACCTCACATGGTTAGAAGATTTCTTGTCATATATTGTCAAAATCAATCAAATTGTCCAAAAATAATCACTTTTTATTGTCTATGTATATTTAGCACTTAGTTCCGCAGCAGTATTCAACAACTGAAAAATTCACATTGCTTTGCAACTTAATATTTTTTCCCTCTCGAAATAGTGGACGCTTTTGAGACAAACTAATTATTGAAAATAACTACAACCGATTAAAAAATTTCTGTGCCGCCGCATAAGAAATCTCTTTTTATGGATTCATGAAAAAAAAATCATTTGCAATTTTTTGCCAACTCATTGTCATTTATGCTGATAATAATAAAGACTAGGTGACGAGATAAAAAAAAAAAAAAAACAAATTGTTTTCTTTTTGGCTTTATTTTTTATGGTCATGAAGGGTGGGGGACGACAGCTCATCAACAAATCTATATGAATAGAATGGAAAATAGAAATTGCAATAAACCAAAAAAGAAGGTTCTCGCAATTCTCATATCTCCCGGACTGATATGAGGCGAGAGAGTGTATGGAGTCAACGAGCAAAAAAAAAAAAAAACAAAAAACAAGAATAAAATAATATGCCGTTCAACTATTGAGCAGATGTGTTTTTCTGCGAGAACTATATACAAGTTTAAGGGGGGAGATTGTCGGTACATTCATATGCATAGTATATTTTATATATAGGCGCGAGTGTAAGGTTATTAGGGTGTAACGAAAATGAAAAATCACAAGAATTTAAATTTTAACATAACTTAACAAAATGTCTATTGTCAAAGAAGTAGTTCTAGTTTAATCACGAGTTTAAATGACTACATAAATTTAAATGAAAGAAGCAAAAGCTTTTTATGACGGCGTGGTATGGCTAAAAAGCAGTATATTTCGCAACTTGACAATGTCTTCTGCAAGGTTCCTCCTAGGATAAAAAACATTCCTTGGAATATCATTAGTTGTTGGCATTAGAATTATATGTCAAAAAATAATCTGATATGCTTCTCATAATAAATACAACAATTTGGATACAAATCGGTTATTGTCAAAATGTGCAGAACGAAGGGTCTCTGTCATAACTCTACGTGGACTGGTCTAAAAGAAACAGAAAAGTTAACCTCAGTCTAAATTATTGCAATCTTTTTTTGCTTGGGTCAGTTTAAAGCGTTCTTAGGTTGTTATTAGGCTTGAAACGCCTGAAAATATTTATTTTAGGTTTTCATCAGACGAAAATATGCCTTACGATAAAAGTTTAATATCAATCAGGCACCATATAATAAAACCGACCGATTTTATGAATTTTAATGACCCTTCACACATGTAACTTCCTGTAATTTATGTTTAGGTTATCTGCACAAAATAAGCTTTATCTACGCAAATTAAATTAACTTCATCACTAAGTCCGAATCCTTCATAGAAATGGACTTCAAAATTGGACTCCACTTGAAAATTTCAATAATTATGGGATACCCCCATAGGAGCTTTATTGCAAAGCTTAAATCTACATTAAAAATCTTTTATCTGGAATATATGGCCTAAAACCCCCTCTAAAATGGCACAGTAATGCCTATTGGAGCTCAATCAATGAGTGGAGGAAGTTCTGGAGGCCAAAAAATGAAAAACTGACAGTATTCATTTTAGTCCAATATTTTGTGAAATATTAGATCGAATTTGAAGATAAATAATATCGCTCCACTCCTTCTGGTAACACCCTCAAATGGTCCAAAATATTCAAAAACATCATATTTATAGTAGAAGCGAAGGGGGCATCCGATTTATGCTTTGCATATTGTAATATTTATAGCAGATTTGGATCGATATTATCGGAAAAAAGCTTTAAGACCTTCGGTCTTTTGTATTAATTGCGTTTTTCGAAGACGATTTTACATTGTAAGTCTGTCTGACTGTAAGTCTGACTTTGCGAATGATAACTCTCTAAGGGAGTATCCTTATGCAAAACTTGGTACAATTTGGTATTGGGTGAACAGATAGTGCTTTAAATGTGAAATTTGGTATTAGGGTCTCAAAGAAACCCTGGACATATGTATGGCGTTTCGGAAAAGTGTGCCATAACGAAAAGTATTGAATGGCACAAAATTAGATATTAGATTAAGTTATATAGCTGCAATCTCGAAATGTGATATTGAGGTCACTGTTGATATCTGAAATTGAGATGGGGAGGTGGTTTTGGAACGTGCATTAAAATTATAAGAAAAATACTAAATGGTACAAAATTAGGTATTGATTGAAGGTATGAGCTGGAATCCGAAATTTTGGTATTGAGGTCTCTGTTGGGGTCTGTCGTTAAGATATGGATGTGGTTTTGAAATTTGTACCAAGAGTACTTAATGGTACTATTTTTAGCATTGGGAGATGCCGTTATATGTGGACTAAACTAATACGGGCACCTACATAGGCAATTTTCACTCATAGGTTGTAGTACTCATTACGGGTTTAAAATACGAAATTTTAAGCAACTCCGGAGAATAAAGTCCCTATAAAAATCAATATGCCGAATATCGGAGGTATCATTATATGGGGGCTATATGAAGACGTGGACCTGAATAGAAATTTTTTTATCATAGGCTGTAGTGCCCATTACGAACTTTAAATACGAAGTTTGAAACTATTCCGGTTAAAATGTTATTAAAATACCGAATATCGGAGTGTACCGTTGTTTGGGGGAATACCAAACATTGGGGGTACTGTTACATGGAGGCTCTACGATATCGTGGACAAATATATATTCGATCTTGACATTCTTGCAGACAAAAGACTGATCTGTGCAAATTTTAGCTTCCTATCTTAAATTGTTTTGACTCTAGCGTGATAACAATAGACGGACGAACAGGGCTAAATCGTTTTGGAATTTTACGATGAACAAGAATATATGTACTTTTTTAGGTCCTAAATTATTATTTCGATCAGTTGCAAACTTTATGGCAAACGAAATATACCCTCCATAAAATCGTGGAGGGTATAAAAAATAATTAAATTAATATTTTTAGTTCGACCCTAATGTTTGCATACTTGTTTCGTATTGGCACAGTGAAATACATTGTTTTTGCCGGGGGTCGAGGGGAGCGATATTGTGGCCCCACAGTGCTCCCATATACAAACAAATAATTTTTGATCCAACTACAAAAAAAAAAGAAACAAAACAGCCAAGTTGCCGGTCTCTCTTTCTCATTCTCTTAATGGCTTCTCACGATGTGCGGAGACGGGCAACACAAAACATAAGCAAACAATCACACTCGATTAATAGTTGCTGTTGTTGTTGGCGGTTTGGTTGTTTGTTTGACCACCAGTTCAAAAAGATAAGCAACGACAGCTGCAGCAGCAGCAGCTATTTGAAAGGGGCGAACCGACGACAACAACAAAATACAGCCGGCTTCGTTTGGGGGAAAACAGCTTAAATAGCCATAAACTTGCCATCCAACTTCAGTCGTTCGTTGAATCTACTAACGTACACAGCTCCAACCAAGCACTTCAAAGGTAAAGCTACGGATCCAAGAAAATCTAAGGCTAAACTCATAAAAAAGTACAGTGCCTTCTGGCAGTGCAATAGCAACAACAACGGATGTACTAGGGTGAACAAAAAAAGTCAGACTGCAAATATGACATCATAAGAAAAATTGTTGAGAGGATGCCAAGTGAAAAACAAAATTGTGTTCAAAGGAAATGTGAATGGAATTGAAAATAATTGTTTTAAAATTCAGTGAAATTAAAAGTAAATTAGGAAAAGAAATAATTATTGGCAACTATGAAGTGTATGTGACAATTATGACGGATAGTTCCAGAATATTAAAAACAAGATAACGGTTATTTCTGTCACATCTGTACAGAAATATTTCTGGTTTCATGCAGGATTCAAGTGATATATAAAAAATAAATTCAAATTTTTTTTTTTTCTGAAATTAAAATTTTAGCAACTAACATTCCTCTTGAACAGTCGCTTTTGTAAACTATTCGACACACTTCAACAATTGTTATTAACATCCGTTGTTGTAATACAGAAAAAAATTGAAAAAAAATCTCAATGCCACAACTAATCGTTCTATTGTTCTTTTCTTTTGTCTTACAGCCAACCATAATGGATTTCTACTACTTGCCCGGTTCCGCTCCCTGCCGCTCGGTCTTGATGACCGCCAAGGCCTTGGGCATTGAACTCAACAAGAAATTGTTGAACTTGCAAGCTGGCGAACACTTGAAGCCCGAATTCTTGAAGATCAATCCCCAACACACCATCCCCACCTTGGTCGATGGCGATTTCGCATTGTGGGAATCTCGTGCCATTATGGTCTACTTGGTTGAGAAGTACGGCAAAACCGACTCCTTGTTCCCCAAGTGCCCCAAGAAGCGCGCCGTCATCAACCAACGTTTGTACTTCGACATGGGTACCTTGTACAAGAGCTTTGCCGACTACTATTATCCTCAGGTCTTTGCCAAGGCTCCTGCTGATCCTGAACTCTTCAAGAAAATCGAAACCGCTTTCGATTTCTTAAACACCTTCTTGGAGGGTCATGAATATGCTGCCGGCGATAGCTTGACCGTTGCCGATTTGGCTTTGTTGGCCAGTGTCAGCACCTTTGAGGTGGCCAGCTTCGATTTCAGCAAATACCCCAATGTTGCCAAGTGGTACGCCAACCTTAAGACTGTTGCTCCCGGCTGGGAAGAAAACTGGGCCGGTTGCTTGGAATTCAAGAAATACTTCAGTTAAATTATTGTTGTAATTTTTTTTTTAAATTATTATTTATATCAGATATGTTTTAGTTGTAAACGCACAGCAAAGAAAATTAATTTTTATATATTTTTCTATATTGTTAGAAAAAATCTGAAAATAAAATTAAGAAAATAAGAAAAAAATTTGTTTCGATTTCAAGGGCAGAATTTGAGCAAAATGAGGAGTTTTACTTGTCTCCTTTTTTTTGGATTATCAAGCGAGCTCTCCTATGTTGTAGAGAGCAAAGTAGGCGATCATCAGGATACAAAATGCCAGGTTGTATTCCAAATTACTTGTCTCCAACCGTTTGAAAATTAATGAAGTATTTCAATTTGTATCTGCTGATTATTATCTGGTCACGAGAGCTGTAGAACGTTTCCAGATAGTACTAAACTTTTAATTGCATTTTGAAATTTAATTGTATATCTTTTGGTGACATTATCAATTGAAATACTAAGTGGTGAGTTGCGAAATTCGTTTCAGTATTTATACCCCCCGCCCTACTGTTATTTCATTTGAAACGGACATTATGTGTCTCATAGGAATAATCATTTTATATCCTACGTTTATTTGGACGGCATTTGTTTCAGGATTTTCGGACACTATCAAAATCCAAGTTTGTGCATCCTATTCTTTTTTTACTGAAGTTAGATCGATTTCGAATATAGGCAATTTCGGTCTAAAAAGATCAAACTTTTCAAAACAGGTATTCTATTCTAAATATAATAAATTGTGATATTTTATCAGAATTAGTTCGAGAAAGAAAATCGAAGATATCAGGTGTACCCTCCACAAAAACATCGATATTACGAATAATCGTAACCCTCATAAAATACTGCATTTTTCTAAAATTTTCTTCAGAAATTTTACCGATAGAATATCTGTACATATCATTTGTCTGTTATCACAAAATGTACCGGTCTGCTCTTTTTAGCACTAGTCCCAAGTACGGATAATATTAAAAAGAACAAGGAAAAAGTAAAAAAGCTGTAAGTTCGGGCCGAACTTTGAATACCATGCACCATTTGGTACAAATTTGGCAATTAAAAAAAAAAGTTAAAAAATCTGTTAAGGTCTATACGTCTACGTGGACTTGCATAGCCGAGTTTTGTCACAAGCTACTACAATATTCAAATGCGAAACTTGAAAAAAAATCTGTTTATCATTATCTGTTTATTAAATCATAAAAACACCGAATATAGGAAGGTACCATGGGGGTTATAACACGTGGACCTGCACAGACAATTTTCCGTCATAGGCTGTAGTATCCGTTACTAACTTCAAACACCGAATTTTAAACAATTCCGGTATATAATGTCGCTAAAATCATCAAAATACCGAATATCGGGAGGTAGCGTTACATGGGGGCTATACGAAGACCTGGACCTACATTGCCCATTTTCTGTCTTAAGCCGTAGTATCTATTACGAACTTCAAGTACCAATTTTGAAACAATTCTGGTAAATAATGTCGCTAAAATCATCAAAATACCGAATCTCGGGAGGTACCGTTATATGGGGCTATACGAAGACGTGGACCTACATGGCCCATCTTCAATACCAAAAATACATCGAATTTTATGCTGATCAAGAATATATATACTTTGTGGGGTCTAAAATGTATATTTCGAGGTGTTACAAACGGAACGACAAACTTAATATACCCTCCATACTATGGTGGAGGGTATGAAAAAGCAGCTAAGTTCGGCTTTAACTTTTAATACCCTCCACCATTTTGAAAGATCTTTAAATTTTTCAAAAAAAAAAAAAAAAAGAAATCGTCTAAAAAATAAAATGAAAACCGTTACATGGGGGCTGTACGAATACTTGGACGTGCATAATTATTGTTTTTTTTTTTTTCGTCATAGGCTGTAGTACCGATTACGAACTTCCAATAGTAAATTTGAAACAGTTCTGGTGAATAATGTTGCTAATATCATCAAAATATCAAATAAATTGAGGCACCGTTATATGTGGGCTATACGAAGACGTGGACCTGTATAGACAATTTTCCGTCATAGCTTGCGACCTTCAAACTCTAAAAAAGGAAATTCGAAACGAAATGAAATGTGGTTCAAGTCATGAAAATATCGAGTATCGGGGGGTACTGTTATAGGGGGACCATACGATATCATGGACCTATGTGATTAATTCTCTTCCATGGGGTAAAGTACTTAGAAAGAATTTCTTGTGTGGATTTCAAACAATCTAATTGAAAAATGTGGTTAAATTCATGAAAATACCGAATATCTGGAGGTACCGTTATATGGGGATATACGTTATTGTGGACCTAAATAGAAAATTCTCTTCCATGGGATTAAGCACTCAAAAAGAGTTCCTTATGTGGGTTTTCAAACCTCTCATTGAAAAATGTGACTAAAATCATCAAAAGACCGAATATCGGGGGTACCGTTTTATTTGGGGCAATACGATATCGTAGACCGATGTAGCCTATCTTCGAACTTCACCTGCCTGCACACAAAAGACTGATCTGTGAAAAATGTTAGTTTCCTATCTTTATTTGGTTTGACTCTAGTGTGATTACAAGAGACGGATGGAAATTTTTCACGAAGGTCAGTCTTGGTGCGTAGTACAAAAGTACTAAATAAATTACTAGAGAGTACAAAATTTGGTATTGAGTGAAGGAATAGAGCTGAAATCCTGAAATTCGATATACAGATGCCACTGTTGGTGTTTGTGGTTAAGATATGGATGTGATTTTGCAAATTTGTACTATAATTGTACGATAGGTGCTAAATAGTACTACATTTGATATTGAATGAAGGTATAGAGCTGGAATTCAGAAATTTGATATGGATCTCACTGTTGATGTCTGAGGTTGAGAGAAGGGACTGTTTTTGGATATAATAACTATAATTGTACTAAATGGTACTGATTTTGGTAATGGGATTACAGAGATGAAATTCTAAAATTTGATATGAATGTCACTGTTGGTTTCTATATTTTACATATGGAGACGTTGAAATAGATGTGGACAGAAAAATTGGATGTAGGTAAATAGTGCCATGACTTTACTAATACCCTTCTCGTAAACTTCAGAATAAAAGATATTGAAGAATTTTTGGTGTAAATTTCCTATTATTCTTCCCGAAAAAGGAAAAACTTGAATACTGTATAAAATGTTGAAAGTCTTAAAATTAAGTACGATGAATGAAGTTTTGATTAAAAAAATTGGACAAGCTGAGTTAATTGTGCATTTTGAGTAGTAAAAACAGCCTAAAACAAATTGTTGGAACGAATCTAAAGTTTTAAGGTGGACTTTTCGCTGACAAGGTAGCGAGCACTTTCTAATTGTTAATGAAAGATTTCATTCCTTTAAAGCTCTGCGCAATTATTTTTATTTTCTTTATAGAGAGGGAGAGAACACCCATACACAATGTGTATCAAATTAAGTTGAGGTATTTTGATAACCAAAACCGTTGATATTTCCCTTAATATTTAAGAGAAAATGTGTTGATATGAAAACTCTCTTAAACTGCACTGATCACACTTTATGAGGCAATGGACACAAAAGTCTCTTTAATTATTTTAAGGTGAAATTTAAAAATTTATAAAAAATTAAATATTAACAAGTAAAAAGCAGTAAGTTGGGTACAGAAAACTTTATATATAAATGTATCTGAATTCAAACGTCTTCCACTTTATACTACAAATACCAGTAAGACCGTTTGGATAATACTGTTAAACTTTTCAAAAAACCATGAAGTGGGTGAGACAGTTGTATGGGAGCCATACCAAAACGGGAACCTCTAGACAATGTTAAACATCAAGGATTGGCATCTACCAAATATTCTTTAACACCAAATTTCAAACAATTTCGTGGATAAATGTGCTAGGATTATCAAAATACCGAATATCGGTAGGTATCGTAATATATGCGCTATAGGAAAACGTAGACCAAAATAGTTACAGTTCTGCCGCCGGAGCTGAAATCCATTATTAACTACAAATACCAAATCATCAAAATACAGAATATCGGCATGTACCGTTATATGGCGACTTAAAATTTTATGCTGATTATGAGTATATAAATTTTATGGGGTCTAGTATATACATTTGATGCGGTTATGGATGTTACAAACGGAATTAAAAGGTTTATATACTCTCCTTTTCCAAGTGAAGAAATGATTTATTTTTCAATACCGGAAACATTCTATACGACAGATACCAATGCTCCTTTATTACATCTGGTATGATATATTCTGATTTAAAAAAAGCCATAGCCAATTGGAAAAGAGGCGAAATTTGAACTCATTAAGTTATAAATTTACAAAATTCATTTTTCCATAATAATAGGAAAAATATAGCATATTATGAAAATTGAGCTAAAAATAGATGGCACAAGTATGGGCGATTTGAAAGATCTGAGAGCAAGGTAACCTAAATTGAGGGACAATTTCGCCCCCCTCCACATTTATTTAAATATATATTTTTTTTTATTGAAATTTCATGGGAGAAGGTCAACATATTCATACATACTTAAAAAAAACATTTGAACACATTTAGGTAAAATTCAAGAAAAATTTTTTGAAGAATCAAAATCCAAAAAATATTTTCCTTAACTTTTGAAGAAAGTATTTGCTTAAATTGATACCAAAATTTTTATATATATGTTTTTTTATTTTTTCTTTTTTTAATGTTTATTTATTCCACAATCAAAATATGCCTCGCATCAAGGTATGAAATTATATAGAGGAGTTGTATACTTTTTTTGCAATTTATGAGAGATACACCAGATCTTACGTTTGTTAAAATATTGGGATGTGTGAAATTTAAAGAGAATCGGATGCTTATTTTGTTTTTATGAGCGTTTTTTGGTATTTAAAATGTTTACCCCTTTGTGGGGGAGATAGAAGAAGGAGTGGGCCGAGAGTTATAATTTTTCAAAATTTTGACTTTTTGTGGGGGAGGTACTTGATGGAGAGGGCCTATATTGTCCATTTTCATACCTGACTTAGAAATATTGGGATTTGTAAAGTTTGAACCAAATCGAATGATCCTTTCTCTTTCTATATGGCAAAATTAGGTACTAGAAGGAGTAAACCAATGTTGCCTTTCTACGTACTCGATCTAAGTTTGGCAATAACACTGCGATGTACCAAGTTTGCCTACCTGAAAGACAGGAAGACGGACACCCCTTAATCAACTCCAAATGTACTAAAACGGATTTGGTCCAAAGAGTCCTAGGGTCTAAAACCGTTATTTCGATGAGACACGTTATGGCCGTATCAAATGATATATACCGTCACTAGCCATATGGCTGAGGGTTTAACAACGTAAACACATAATTTTCAATGATTTGTATGCTTTATTCGTTTGTAATACGATTTATGGTTAAATTGTAGACCAAACTCAAGATGTTTGACATTAAAAAAACCCGAAGCGTGAGTGATCTGTTTAAACCAGTGTTACATAAAAGATAATAGCTAACAAAAAAGCACAAAGCACAAAAAGCAGGGCCGAGCTTTTAATACCCTCCACAATTTTGATGGAAACAAATCGTCGAAAAATACCATTTATAGGGCTATACGGAGATGTGGACCTATATAGACAATTCTCTTCAAGGTAGTGAAGTACTCAAAAGAAACTTCTGGTATGGACAATTCCATTGAAAAATGTTGCCATAATCATAAAAAACCGAATATCGTTAGGATTTTGAGATTATGAAAATACCGGATATCGTTAGGTACGGTAGACAATACCCTTCCAGGAGGTAAAGTACTAAGAAGAACTCCTGACGTGGATTTTGAGACAATTCTATTTAACAATGTGGCAAAATTCATGAATATGCCGAATATCGGGAGGTACCGTTATACGATATCGTGGACCTATATAGACATTTCTCTTCCAGGGGGTAAAGTACTCAGAAGGAATTCCTGGTGTGGATTTTAAGACAATTCCATTGAAAAATGTGGTTAAAATCATGAAAATACTGAATATCGGGAGGTACGGTTATATAGAGGCTATATGATATCTTTGAACTTGACCTGGCTCCAGACAAAATTTTGATCTGTGCAAAATTTTAGCTTTCTATCTTTATATGTTTTTACTCTAGCTTGACTCGACAGACGGACGGACGAACAGGGCTAAATCGTCTTAGAATTTGACTCTGATCAAGAATATATACACTTTGTTGAGTCTAAAATTATTATTTCAATGAGTTACAGATAGATGTCGAACTTAGTATACCTACCATACTATGTATGGTAGAGGGTATACAAAACAACATTAGTACAGCTTTGGCAGCGCCTAAAATTATGCTTTACCAATTCTTAATATGAGTGTGAAAGACTGACTAAACTATTATGATTTGCACACATGTCTTTAGCTATTACTCTCTGTAGCTATGCCAAATCAGAGGCAATTTATTTGGGTCCATGTTCAAAAAATTGTATTTCCCTTACAATTTATTTTGTCTTCATTGAGTAAATACATTTACAAAATATTTTTTTATTTATATCTCTTTATTATTCACAGGTACTTTACAACTAAATACACACATAAATACACCTACAAACAATAATATACATAAATACATACATTATGACTACTCTAAATATAAATAATTATACAAAATAAAAATAATATCATATATTGCATAAATATTGCACACAATTGTTGTAATACTTTGGATTAACATTTAAATAAACAATTTCTAATAATTCAATAAAATAAAAACAAAATACACAGAATGCTCACTCCGTACACGATGGCTAAATGGTAGAACTACAAAAATAATAACATAAATTACAAACACTTTTTTTCCACAGGTCCTAAAATTGCAGTGAATTATCCTTCGTCTTGTAATCCAAGGGTCGCTTAAATGATTGCTCCAAATTGTGTAGACGTTGTTCCAAATCATTCATGGAATTTCGTAAAATATGGCCACGTGCCCTCAGCGATATTCCCGGTGAGTTTTGCATCAAATCATCTTTGACACCCGAAAACGAATGACGGACACAGGAACGTTTTTCGAATTGCGAATTCTGATAGAGCTCTTGATGGAGCTGTTGATGTTGCTGATGTTGTTGCTGGTGCTGCTGCTGTTGTTGATGTTGCTGCAGATGGTGTTCGCATAGCGAACGACAATTGCTCACAACTAGAGCATCATCATTCTGTAAAGAATCTTCATAATTATCACTGGAAGAAAAGAGAGAACAAACGAAAAAAAAAGAAATGCAATGGACATACAGATGAATGGTGATAAATGAAACAACAAAGAGTGTTAGAATTATTGGTTATTTACAAAATAAATGCAGTGCGTGATAAAAAGTTATGATGATTACACAAAAATAATTGGTTTTATCATGCTACAATAAAAAGGTAAGGTAAAGCTACCAGCTAATTAAATTTTTTTCTAAGTGTGCCCGACATCTGCCAATTTTGTGTATGTATTTGTTGTTTTGAAAAATAAAAACAATATATTTTCAAAATCAATGGTTGGAAGAAACTTAAATTGTGGGCGCGCATTAATGATATTAACCAGATATGCCATGGAATTGAAAGATTTTTTTTTCATATTTTTGAGAGAACATCCAGGCATTTCATTCATTTTTCGCGCTTTTTGACTCATTTTAAAAATAAAGAAAGAATATCAAATGAATGAAAACAACTTGTTGCATATAATTTTTAGTAATTCTGACAGGAAGCGGGCATAGCCTCAAGACTGTATTTCTCTAGTTTTACGAAGCTGTTCTATCTCCTCATTGTACCATGGGTTTTATTTCTAATTCAAAAATATTATTAAGAGCAGAAATAAAAATCGCACCATATTCTCCACCTGAAGTATGATTATTCTAGTAACTACATTTTTTAAAACAGTTGCCTCGACTTAGCTATTTGTGTCCTTCCATCTCTTGACTCTAATTTGTAATCCAAATATATAATATATATAATAATATATTCGAAACCGTATACACATAGTTGGGGGTTATAAAATATATCTACAAACGCCTTTGCCAATTTTTGTGGAAATCCGATTTAAATATAGCTATTTCTCTCTAATTTTAGATAATTAATACCTCAAGCATACTCATCTTTCTAAAAAGGCTGGATGTGGAATCAAGCCAAGGCGGCTATGTTTGGACAAAATCGATTTACATTACCTATACTTCCATCATTTTTAAAAGCATCTGGATTCAAACATCTTCAACTTTAAACTACAAGCACCAGTACGAAACGAGTAAAACTGCAGCTAAGTTCGGCCGGGGCTACCTTTTAATATCCTCCACCATTTGGATGGGTAATATACGAAAACGTGGACTTGTTTACGAAATTTTATTTCATAGGCTGTATTACCCTTTACGAACTTCAAATATGAAATTTACGAACTTTAAATACGAAATTTGTTGCAATTCCAGTGAGTAATGTCGCAAAAATCATCAAAATACCGAGTATCGGAAGGTACCGCCATATTGGTGCTATAGGAAGACTATATGATATACGAAGACGTGGACCTGCATATGATTTTTTTTTTTTTTGCATAGGTTGTCGTACATATTAAGATCTTCTAAAAGGAAATTTAAAACGATTCCGGTAAATAATGTCCCTAAAATCATAAAAATACCGAATATCAGGAGGTACAGTTATATGGGCGCTATACGAAAACGTGGACCAACATGGCCCAACTTAAAGGTAAACTATGCATGTATGCAAAATGTTAGCCTTCTAACCCAATTCGTTTGAAAGATTACAACAGACAGACGGACATCGCTAAATTGTCCTGGAATTGTACGGAATAAAAATTTTTATGAACATTTCTAGAAGTTACAAACGGAATGACAAAGATAATATACCCTCCATAGAATGGTGGAGGGTATTAAAAACCAAAAAGTATGTGACGCTGTTATATGGGGGCCATATCTAAACGGGAACCTCTATAAACAATTTTATACTTCAAGGATTGTCATCTACCAAATCTTCTTAAATACCAAATCTGAAACAGTTTCGTTGGTAAATGTGACTAGAATTATAAAACAACCGAATATCAGTGGGTGTCGATATGTGCGCTTTAAGAAAACGTGGTCCTAAACATCCACCGGAGCTAGAATCCATTATGAACCACAAGTACCAATTTGGTAGAATCAGTCGGTTTTGTCCTGCATTATGATTGCTCAAACTATTGAACCTTTATGGGGAAGGTTTAGAAGAAGTAAACCAATATTATTGATTCTGTAACAGACCTAATAAAATATTTGGATGTGTGAAATTCTAACGGACTCTTATTTCACATTTTATAATTATAACTATTCTAAATGTTGACCCTCTCTGAGGAAGGTGCCAAAAGTAGTGGTCCTATACATTATTCCATCTTCACAGTAGATCTTGTTTTAGTAAAAATATTAAGATGTGTGAAATTTTACAAGAATTGAATGCTCCGTTCGCATTTTGTTCGTTTTGGTTATTCAAGATTTCGACCCATTGCGGGAAAGGTACCAGAAGTTGTAGGTCGATATCGACCATCTTCGCAATAGATCTGGCTTTGATAGAAATATTGAAGTGTGCCGAGGTTGAAAGGAATCGGACACTCATTTCGAGTTTTACGAGCTTCGTGGCAATTCAAAATGTTGAGCCTTTTGTGGGGGAAGTACAAGAAGGAGGGGGCCGATATAGCCCATTTCTCACCAGAACTTGCGTTTATAAAAATATTGGGATGTGTAAAAATTTTATAATTTTTTTTTTTTTTAAATTTGTAAGAGAATTATTTCAAATGTTGACCCTTTGTGGGGGCGGGCGGTGCTTCATGGGCCGATATTGTCCATTTTCGCATCTGCCTTAGCACTGACAAAAATATTGGTATTTGCAAAGTTTACACAAAATCGGATTTTCCTGTTCAATAACGTAAATTATTTGCTGTGAAAATGTTGACCTTTTGTGGGGAAGCTACCAGAAGGAGTGGACCGATAATACCCATCATAGAACTCGACCTAAATTTGTTAAAATATTACGATGCACCAAGTTTGGAACAAATCGGATACTCCGTTCGCGATTTTTCGTGCGCACCAGAAAGCCAGATAGACAGACGGACGAACACACCTAGATCGACTCCAAATGTTCTGAAACGGATTTGGTATAAAGAGACTGTTATTTCATACGGGCTAGATGAAGCCTAAGGCCTTCATACAGGCTAAATGTAGTTCGAGACCTTCAAACAAAATGCATAAAGGTCTGAATTCTTGTTTGCAACGGACATGAGTATCAAATCAATTGCAGTAGTTCGCCCCATTTCGTTTAATAGCTCATACGCTTTAGATCGTACAGTACAGGATAACATTGAACCGATTTCTATCAAATTTTTTCATGCATTATACGTTATTAGTAAATAAATAGCTACATTTAGATGAAATTTCTTACCTCGAATCCGTATTATTTAAATCCAATTTCGAACCACTCGTCTTATTGTGTTTTTGCTCCAAATGCTCTTTGGCATGTCGCGGACACAACGACTTATGTGAAGGTTTTTTCGATTGCTGGGAATCAAATGAGTCCGGCGAGGTTTCGTACAGCTCTCGACTACTGACAAAATCCACACCCGAGTCTTGGCCACTCGAATGCAATGAAAACATTGAAGTTTCAAATGAATGTGGGGATCTGTAAAAAAGAGAAATACTTTATAATTTTTCATAACTAAAAAATTTGCAAATAAAATATAATATTTACATATTCATATTATTGACCGGTTGGCAGGCATTATATTTGAACACAAAAGGTGATGAAGGCGAGGGCGATGAGGCCTCCTCTTCGGCATTTCTTAGGGCTATGGATTTCACTACGGATTTGGGCAAAGGAACATCAATGTATTCTCGTGGGGGACGGGGTCTAGTGGTTGCAAAAGAAAAACAAAATATGATCATTATAAGGAATTATAAAAAGCTAATTTATCCTTGGAGGATTTTAGACTAATGCATCAAACCGTAAATATGGTACATACGTACCTCACAGATCTATATCTGAACTAACTTGGAATAAATATTTAAGACAAAATTCCAAAAACATTTTTTTTTGCTTAGCTTTTACAAGAAGTGATATCTTTTGTAAACTTAATAGCGATCCGGCCAAGATTATGGCCTTGCCTAATCTGTCTTTTCGAGTTCTTAATATCCAAACACTTCTATGGTTGTAATCACCAGAAATAGTTCCCTAACCTTAAAATGTTTTTTCTTAATAAATCTAATGACACACAACATTTCAAATATTAATTAATTCTACTTCCTACTGTGCGTTTTCAAATCGACAAGACACCAACATGACCCACTTCCTCGTATCGGCTAAATCAATCGAATATGAACATCATCATCGTCATACTTACTCATTATTCAGATGCTGGTGGTGATGTTGCACCTGTGGCAGATAGTGGTGAGTAGGCTGTTGCTGTTGGGCAGCCTGCAGCGACGGCAACGATTGATGTTGGTGCTGATGTTGATGTATGTGTGAGTGTGAATGCGAATGATGGAAATGTTGATGCTGATGTGGACTGTTTGTTGGTGTTTGCGTTAGACTTTGCTGTAGGTTTGACGTTTTTTGTTGTTGCGTCCATTCTGGTTGGGGTGATGGTTGCAGCTTTTGTGTTGCCAATGCCGTCGATTGGGTTTTAGCCGAAGAACATAATGATTCTAGAAATATATATGATAAGAAATAGTTTAGTAGGAATTATGCAGATGGGTAGATAGTGTTAGAAGATCTATTTCAACTTAATAAAAAAACATTCTCCTTTTATGAGGAGACCTATAGGATTGTATAAGCGGACCCACTGGTCTTCTATGACAAGATTTATTTGTCTTCTATAAAAAGCTTTATAGATCTTATATTAATAGACTTCCAGGTCTGCAATGAAAATATATCATGACCTTCTAGGTCTTCTTAGAAAAGACCTCTAGACCTTATAAAAAGACTTCTAGGTCTCCTTTGAGAAGACTTCATGATATTTTATGAGAAGACATCTAGGTGTTTTATTAGAAGACCTCTTCGCATTGTATTAGAAGACGACTATCAGGAGAAATCTAGCCTTTTCATGAAAAGTCCTCAAAGTCTTCTATGAGAAAACCTCAAGCTATTTTATAGGAAGTCGAAGTCTTCGAGGTCGTTCATGAAATAAAGACCTCAATGTATGCTATGAAAAAACCGCAAGATATTTGATGAGAAGATCTCAATGCCTTCTAGGAAAAATCATCTAGCGTCATATACGAGAAGTATTCAAGATCTGGGAGAAAACCATCTATGAGAAGAAGTCTTTTCTAATATCTATAAATTCTCCATGAGCAGACCTATGAGAGGCTATGAGAAGAACATTCTATTGGATGACCTCTATGAAAAGACTTCTAAATGAACACCTGTTGGTCTTCTTTTACATTACCTATAGTCGTCTAAGATGACCAAACCGTTTGACCAAAAAGTCCTACTGGTCCTTTATGGGACTACTCCTTATTTTTCTATGAGAAGAATGATTGACCCTTGATATATGTTGATGTACTCAGCCTTATGTCTATAGAGTTTATGTATTACTTGTAATGAGAAAAAATACGACTTATTTACGAATTAGAAACCAATGTTTTCAGCTCTGGTCTGTCTGATTGGCTGGAGCGCATGACAAGTATCGACGGAAGCAGTCAATGTGGCCTAAACTTGAGACATTTTAAAATTCCTATTAAACTTAGTTCGAAATTGACGAGAGTCAATATGGATCCTCACAAGTGACAAGAATTCGAATTATACCAATTCGCATAACATTTAAAATATTATAAAAAATGTTTTTATAAAATCGAGGATTTTATAAAAACATTTTTTCTTGGCGGAACAAAAATCGTTTATTTAAAAGAAAAAATTTGTGATTTCAATTCCGAAAATCTCCAAATTAATCAGAGTATTTGATATTTTGAAGGACCTTCTGACAAAAAATCTCAATTTTTTTAAAAACATTTTGAAGGTTTATTTGGTTCTCATGACCAAAAGGACCAGATCGGAAATTGTGATTTTTTATAGGAAAAGGTCCTCCTCCTTGAAGCACCTCTCTACTGAAAAAACAATTAATTTCGTGAGGCTCCTGAGCTGAACATATCGCAATATTCTATTCCGCAAATATTAAAAAATGAGCACGGGAGAAAGCCATTGGAATTCCAAAAAGAGCAAGAACTTAAACCGCAACAGAAAGAAAATAGACTTAAAAGAGCTAAAGAGTTGCTTCGCTTGGCCGATAGTGGTGAACTGCCGAATTTGGTTTTCTTCGATGAGACAACATTCGTTGTCCAGCAGTTTGTAAAAAAACTAAACTGATCGTGTTTACTTGCCAAAGAGGTTAGCTGAAAATGTCCACCTTCGGTTGGCCACCAGAACTCAAGCACCGGCCATGGTGTTGGTGTGGGCCGCCATAACAGCCGATGGTGGCTCTCCGCTCGTATTATTCGACCGTGGCATCTAAATGAATGCCGAATATTATGACGAAAATATTCTGAAGGGAGTATTAAAGACTTGGGCGCGTAAACATTTTGGCCGCAGACCTTGGACATTGGTTACAAAATGATTTTCCTCGCTTCATTTACAGCTCACAATGGCCACCAAAATCTCCAGATACCAATCCGTTGGACTATTGTGTTTGGAGTATTTGGAAAGCAAGGTTGGCACTAAAACATACCAAACTGTCATCTCTAGGGCCGGGAATGGGCCAAAATACCGCAGAGCAACATTCGGGCAGAGTGTGACTGTTTCATTGGTCTTTTGAAGGCCATAATTCGTGCCAAAAGTGACCAATTCGAACAAATCTAAACTTATTCGAAAATCTGATGTTATTTCCGACATTTTTTTTATTTTTGCTTTTATTCAATAAAATTTAAAAAAAAAGTGTAAAAATTATGGCGTTTGACTTTGTTGCAGTTTTTTATTTCACCCTGCATGCCATTTTATTAGACCAAGACGTACCTAATCGAAATAACGAATTTAGACCCTAGGTATCTTTTGACCAAATCCATTTCAGGACATTTGAAGTCGATTTAGCGATGTCCTCCATTTGTATCTGATATCCGGTATAAAAAATATTCATGTTGTGGAGTGCATATCACACATGTCAGGGACTTAAAACCCCAAATTGGATAAAACATATATATGGGAGCTATAGCTATATCTGAACCAATGTTCACCAAATTAGATGCAGAATTCTAATAGAATCCTTCTCTGTCCTTAACTCTATTCTCAGGCGTGCCGATTGGCCTCGATTGTGTGATCAGGTTTTTTTTTTGTTTTTGGTCCATTTCAAACCCTAAATATATTGCGGACATCTTTGAAAACAATAGGACTAGCCCTTCTGATCCTAACCCTTCCCATTTTCGTGAGGACGATAATTACAGACTGTGTATAATAATCCCAACCTGTGTTGTAAGGTGAAAAAATATTACAAAATATACACTTCAATATTAAGTCAAAATGAAAAAAATCGCATGCGATAAAATATATGAAAAAATAAAAAAGTCACAAATATTACAAAATCTATATTAACATCACTATTAGCATCTTTTTATGCGATTTATTGCGAGGCCATTCTGAATTGACAAAATTTGTCGAAATCTGTCCAGCCATTCTTGAGATATAAGCGTTCTAGCTAACATCCCCATCCTCTGTGTATACACATTGTATATATTTCGCTATATATATCCGATATATTTAGTATCGGCGTAAACGTAACAGTCAGAATTGACCTGTTCGTCTATTTGTGATTTCGCTGGGGTTAAAAATATCCGCGGTTTAATGGAAAAGTTGACTTTTATTTAACACAAATATTATGGTCAATTTTACCCACTAAATATTACCGGATGACCATCAAATTGGAAGACTTCTGACAAGCCCTAAGCACTAGCTTCATGTTAACTTCCGCGTCGATTGGTCTAAAATTGCGACCTGTAGAGTAACTACAAAATCAGGAAAATTTTCAGTTTTTGGTCCATTTCAACTCCTAGATATTATCTCCATCATCTCCAAAAGCATAGGGCCCTATTCTGACCTTAACCCCACCTCCATTTTCAATTTCGTGAGGATCGGGCCATAATTGCGACCTGTAGAGTGATTACAAATTAACATGGACAGACGGACGGACGGACATACATAGCTAGATCAACTCAGCTCGGCGAGATAGAAAGATCCACATATACTTTCCTATGTGGGAAGCCAATATTTCGAGGTGTTACATAATTTTTGGCCCAATCAAACTTATAATACCCCCAACACATAGTGTTGTAGGGTATAATCATCAATATTTCAAAAATCAAAAAAAAAAATCCTTTTGGATTGTTTAAGCAGATAATGACGATTTTCTGCATTTATTGGAAACCTATATATTCTTACTGACACAAAAACTTCGATCGAACTCGGTTTTTACTTCTTTAAAATACTTGGTGTGTTTTCGAGTTCAATAAACACAGGTAACCCAAATGTATATTGTTCTCCTTAAATGATTAAAATGCCCTTGACTTAGTTCTTATTGTCGTTGGTATCATTATCAAACCCATAAATATATCCACAGACAACATCAAACTTGCCAGTTACCCATTTCTGCCATTTTCCTGGAAATGTTTGCTACTTACGTTGACTTTGACGTTGCAACTGCTGCTGATGCAACTGTTGTTCTTGAACGGCCACAGCTTGTTGATGGGTCCGGTGACGACGTCGGCGACAGGTATCCAGGCCAGCACGTGCTATGGTGTATGTTAAACCAGTTTCAGATGATGGAAATTCTTGCTGAGACCATAAACCACTGCAAAAAGAAGGAGGTGGACAATGGAAAGAAAAAGAAGAAGAAAGAAAGAAACAATAAATGAAATGAGAACAAATCTGAAGCACGAAGAGCAAAAATCAATAAAAATTCTTAATCTCGGACCATGTTCTTGGTGGCCAAAGATGGAGAACATAAAATGTTCTAACATTCTAGAGAGATGTTAGAACACCAAATCAGGTTTGCAAAGATTAATTAATACATAGATAGAGGTGCACACACACACATACTCATACACCTTTACACAAATTGTTCGAATTATTGAAATAGTTTCTGAGAGTTGCAAAGTTAATCCATAAAACAAATAGAATTGTTGTTGTTCTTGCAAACATGCTTGATGCAGCAGAATTTCCGTGGAAATGAGGTTAAATGTTTTTTTCAAATATGGTGGGAAGTGAAAAAAAGACAGAGTACCGTTAGTTTTTGTTCTAGTGCAAAATGTTGTCACTTTTGTCTGATCGCTGGAAAAGTGATGCACTCTTGAGATCGCATCACATCACATCAATCAAAAACCAATCATTTAACCAACAACAATGCCACTGATTTCAAAATCTGATTGGGGCAGGCATGAAAAACAACTCTTTGCTTTATTGAGTGAAAAACTCCATTGCTTTGGACTTGAGATATGTGTTAAAAATGCACAAATTTTATTTATTGACTTTTTGTTTTTATTTTTCTTTGTGTAAGCTATGGCAAACTTATAAATTAATCTCTTAAAATAATAATAAAAAAATAAAATCTTCTTTCATTTCACTTCAATTTCAGTCTCTTATATAGGTGTTTGAGTGTGTGTGTGCACGTTAATCTTTTTGACCATCATCATCATCATTAATTTACCGTTTCTGCCTCATACACATAAAACACAAGGCGGTCAGCACCGATCCCACGCCACAAAAGGCCACCAGTACTATGGCCACGATTTCCAAACTGCTCCAGAAATTGGCACTGTGCGTTGATTTATGTGGCATTTTTCCCAATTCGGCCAATTCAATGATACGCGGCATTGTCTTGCTAATATCCCAAAAGCCATTTTGGGCATTCTGCTGCAAGTGTTGTTGTTGATGCAATTGCAGCGTATCCAACTGGATGGTGGACAATGACCTGTGGGTGATGGTGGGTGGAGGTAGTGAATGGAAACAAAGGTGAGTATTCATGTGGGGTGTTTTTTTTTTATCTTCTGTGTGTCATTTAAAACTTACTCTTGCAATTGTTCCATTTCGACAATTGAATTTGTCCGATAGTCCACAGCATAAATGTAGGCATCCGTTCTGAAATTGATGGAATGAAATTAAAAATTGGTATACATAAATTATGAGAATATTTGTTAAAATACATTAAAAAAAAAATAGGAAATTATTGATCTATTTTAATCAACGTGATGGGGTGGTGTTTCGGATTCAATATTCCTGCAATAACTACAAATTTTGTTATCACCGATTTTTATACCCTACACTACATAGTGGTAAGGGTATTATGTCTTTGTACATTTGTTTGTAACACGGAGAAGGAAACGATATAGACCCATAGTTACTTTGAGGATCAATCAATTTCTGTGTCGATTTAAGCATGTCAGTAAGTCCGTCTGTTCATGTATTATTGCGAACAAAATGCAGGTCGCATTTATTATCCGATTGGATGAAATTCCTACCCTGCAGCAATTAGTGATAATCGGATCAGATTTAGATATAGCTCCCATATATCTTCAATTGATTTCGGGTTTATTGTGCACCAAATGGCTAATATAAGTCCAAATGACCTGTATTTTACTACAACCCACGGAATTCAGTCTAGAAGCAAGTAAGTATCCAATTTGCGATTTAAAGTACCTCACATGCGTAATATGCACTCCAGAAGAATGATATTTGGTACCGGTCATATCGAGATCGGTTCAGATTAGGATATAGCTCCCATACATAACTTTATCCGATATCAGGTGTATTGAGCATCAAATGGCTAATATCAGCCCAAATGGACCGAATGTTTGGCAATTACGACAGAATCCATCCTTAAAACAAATACTTTAAGTTCGGTGTAGTTCGGTTCAGATAAAGCTATAGCTTCCATATATATGTTTTATCCGATTTGGGAGTTTAGAGTCCCGCACAAGCGTAATGTGCATTCCACAACAATGATCTTTGGTACCAGATATCAGATACAGCTTAGAAATAAGTGTATTAAAATTCGTCAAGATTCGTATTTAGATTTGGATATCCTCAACCGATTTCGGGTTAATTTTGTACCAAATAGCCAATATCACCAAATATCCAATATCTGTACAAATGACTTGAATTTCGGCATGACCTACCGAATTCAGGTTAGAAGTACTGTAAATATGAAAATCGGTTCAAATATAGCTATAGCTGCTGTTTTATCACATTTTAAGTTTATGTCCCTCGAATTCGTAATATGAATTCGACAACAATGATATTTGGTACCAGTTATCAGATACAACTGGGAAATACCTCGGGCAAATTTTATCGAGAACGGCTAAGATTTGGATTTAGCTGCCATATATATCCTTAATCCGATTTCATGTTTATTGTTCAAATAATGGCTAATATCAGCTCAAATTGTGTGAATTTCGGAACGCACGTTTCCATTTTGTGCAACTCGGCTCCGATACATTTATTTATAATATAATCGTTCTCTAAGTGATATCATGCACTCTATAGCAAACTATAACTGCTCTAAAGTCAAATGTTGATTGGTAGTATGATCTACTTGAAATAAATTCTTTTGTTGCGGGAGCTCTACTAAATACAGGGTGAGATGAAAAAACTGCAACCAACTTCAGACTGCTGCCATTTCAAAGCCACTCGTCCGACATCTGTTCCAGTGACAGCTCATTATATTGTTTACAAGCGTAAAAAAGCATTTTGCTGAGAATTCTCCACAAAAAAAGTTATTCGTAATGGAATTTAAGCGTGATAGTGTGATTTTTTTTTAAATTTGGCTGGAAAACCACAAGTGGCTATCGTTAGAGCACTCCAGCATTTAAATGTGAATAAATCTTTTGTGTCTCGTACCATCGCTCGTTACCGTGATACTGGTAGCGTAGCCCGGCGTCAAGGAAGTGGACGGAAGCAACGGACAACAATATCAGCAGAAATGGTTCGAAAAGTAAAGAAGCGACTTGATCGAAACCCGCGTCGCAGTGGCCGAAAAATGGCTCGTGAGCTGAACATATCACAATATACCATTCGGCAAATATTAAACATAATGAGCTCGGGGTAAAGCCATTGACATTCCAAAATGTGGAAGAACTTACAGCGCTACGGAAGGAAAATAGACTCAGAAGAGCTAAAGAGTTGCTTAGCTTGGCCGAAAGTAGAGAACTGCCGAATTTGATTTTCTCCGATGAGAAAAAATTCGTTGTCCAGCAGTTTGTAAACAAACAAAATGATCGTGTTTACTTGCCAAAGAGGTCAGCTGAAAATGTGCGCCTTCGGTTGGCCACCAGAACTCAAGCACCGGCCATGGTGATGGTGTGGGCCGCCATAACAGCCGACGATCGCTCTCCGCTTGTATTAATCGACCGAATATTATCTTGAAAATATTTTGGAGGGCGTCCGCAAAAAGTTTGGCCGCAGACCTTGGGCATTCCAACAGGGCATTCCACCCAAGAATGGTTACAAAATGAGGTTCCTCGCTTTATTTCAAGTACGCAATGGCCACCAAAATCTCCGGTTACCAATCCGTTGGACTATTGTGTCTGGTGTATTTTGGAAAGCAAAGTTGGCACTAAAAATTGTGCCATTGTGGTGTGTCGATCACCTGAAGCAAGTTCTTCGATGGGCCAAAATACCGCAGAGCAGCATTCGGACAGTGTGTGACGGTTTCATTGGTCGTTTGAAGGCCATAATTTTTTGCTTTCATTCAATAAATTAAAAAAATGTAAACATTATGGCGTTTGACTTTGTTGCGGTTTTTTTATCTCACCCTGTATATGTCAGTTATTTCCCACATATATCGTCTCCCAATTCCATTTTAATTTTAAGCCATGGAATACTTTTTGTCAGATTCTGCCCACAAATTTGGTAATGATATTTGATGTAAATTGATTTCGATATAGCTCCCATATCTATTTTTAATCAGAATCTAAGATTTAGGCCATCAAAATCGTAATATCGAATGTTGTAGAAATATATATATCGAAAACATCGAGCAATCTCAATTTGTCGATGTCGCTCGAATATGAGTGAGCATATTTTCCTCGTTTTCTACAAAATCGAAGAGATTATTCTCCTGCCGATTCCCTAATTTTTCTAAAAGGAGTGACTTGCGTGAATCTTATTTCAAGTATTTCGAAGGTAGAAATTTTAACTTATTTATTATCAGAAGAAATAGGACATAATTTTTTATTGAAAATTTCATGGCAAGACATATTGCCTATTTCATATCTGAAAATATATAACTCTTCTTTCTACCCATCTTCAGAGCCACCCTGAATATATACATTCCGTAAATATCAAGCGTTGGATCTGTCTCTTACTCACTTATCAGTTAAAATTAACAGAATCAAAAATATTACTCACGCCGGTTCCGCACTTCCAATATGTGGTTCCAACAGGCGAACACGCACCTCCAATCCAATGGCATCGCTAAGAGCCAACATCAATGCATCGATTTTCTTCTCTACATCTACCGGCTTGCCAGCAACAACAACACGAACCTGCTTCTTCTCATCGATTACATAGACAAAGACATTGATTATATTGCTACGGCCATCATCAGCTCCGGCACGATCCATGGCCTTGACATCAAAACCATATACCCTGTCGGCCGCTGATTCAATGGTGCTGATCAAACGTATCTTTCCACTCGTCTCATCGATGGCAAATAGCCGAGAATGGTCGTTGAGCAGGCGATAACGGATTTCAGCATTCAGGCCATAATCAGGATCCGTGGCTTCCACACGGGTAATGGGATAACCGAAAGAGGCAGTGCGAGGTACAACTGCAATTATCGGTTGTCCGGATGTCTTAAATGTTGGCGAATTATCATTTTCATCGAGGATTTTTATGAGTACACGACATTCATTGTGTTCCAGACCCTCGAGACGTTCATCAATCACGGGGTAGGCGAGACGGGTATAGGTACGTCCTTCACGATTAGGCTTCTCACCTTTGAGGCGTATTTGATAACGTTCCACCTGTTCACGATCGAAGGATTTCAAGGCATAGAGAGTAGATAGTTTGGGATCAAACTCAAATGGCGGATAGGAGTCCTCTTGTGCATCTTGACCCTCTTCCACCCACAAGGACCATTTATAGGTTTCGGGATTGAAGCCTTTGGTGAAATTTAATTTCATTAACTCCGTGGGTGATTCATTGTTCTCTTGGATTTGTATTTCATAGTATTGATGTTGGAATATGGATAGGTTGCCCGTGAGAAAAGGATCCTCGGGTTTTGGTGTGGTGGTGGTTTCGATGATAACTTGGCCTTGGAGATTTATCAAAACAATGGCGGTGGAAGTAAGGGAAGGACTACCCAAATCGGAGGCAATAACTGTAACATTTAAATGACCATAGTTGTTGTATCCCTTGAAATCGGAAATGGTAGTGATAATGCCCTCGCGGGAGTCTATGTTGAAGAGAGGCTGTGACTCATGATGGAGTATGGAAAACAGGACCAAACCATTGCCATTTCCCAAATAATCCTTGTCCAGGGCACTCACCTGCTTGACAAAGGCACCTGGTTTGGTGTTGCGATCAAGGAAGGCTTTGTAGAGTGGCACCTTCATGGTCCTGTCGGGTATGTCGTGGATATATAAATCGGCCTTTACCAAATCATCGTAGCCTATGAATTCCGGTTTATTGTCATTTACATCGAGGACATTGACCTCCACTTCCACGGAGGAAGAGAGGCGATAGAGAGGCTCAGCATTATCATAAGCTATAACATGGAAGGTATATTTGTCCCTCAACTCCCGATCTAGGGAACCGGAAATTTTTATCACCCCTGAAAGGGGTTTTATTCTAAACGGCAGCTCAGAATCACTCAAAGCATAGGAGACATTGGAATTCTCTCCAAAATCCAAGTCCACGGCCAAAACTTGACCCAACACCGAATCTTTGTACTCTCCCTCGGCCGTGTCGAAACTGTACCAGGATTTCTTGAAAACCGGGGCATGATTATTCACATCAATGATGGTGAAGCGCAAACAGGTGGAATCCTTGAGGTTATCAATATCGCTGGCCGTAATGTTCAGCAGTATCTCCACATTGGCCACCAGGGGGTAGTTTATCATCACCTCTCCCGTCAGCTTGTCGATGGCAAAGAAACGATGTTGATTGATTTTACTAGGCAATTGGGTAGCCACCCCGGTGCCATAGAGCTTATCTATGCTCTCCGACACAATGTCATAGTGGACCTGGGCATTGCGGCCATAATCCTCATCCGAGGCGGTGACTTGTAGAATTTTCTTCATCAGTGGAGTATCCTCATAGATGGCAAAGAGAGGGCATTTACTTAGACCACCCATGGCCCGAGCTATTCTAGGCCTTCCCCTACTCCTTGCCCTTGAGCGGGGCCTCAGCACACTTTGGGTTTCATTAAAACTCCCCTCGGCCCCATTCAGGCGCGGTGATCCTGGCAGAAAATAGGGTGGCACCACAATATTACTCGTCAACGAGGCCATCATTGTGGGCATTGTATTCAGCGATGACTCCACAAAATATATCTCCATATCAGTTGTATACTCTCTTATCTCTACCCTAGAGTCCTTGAACACTGATATCCTTTCAAAAATCGGGGCATTATCATTCACATCCGCAATAAGGATATTCAAATTGGCATACGAAGTCAAGCCGCCCGTATCAATTGCCAAAATTTTCAAATTATATATTTGATCCTTCTCCCGATCCAATGGTCTCGATCCGGAATAGGTCACCTTAAAGAAGGGCTGATTATTCATACGCAAATTGAATGGCTTCAAATCGGCCTGCATTTCCAAAAATTTCAAATCATCATTCCATTGATCGGATAAATTGTAAATATTAAAAAGCTCCGGACGTCGGGGTAGATTCGTGAGCACCGTGGCATTTTCCTGTTCCACCCAGGTGACATCGAACAAATCGCTGTAGTCTCCTTGCAGCACCACCTTAAATTCGGCATTTTTACCAAAATCTTTATCGCTAATAATGATGGGTCGATTTAGGGCCACCTCCGCACCCTTGGCACTGTTCTCTTTTATCAGACCCATATAGGTCAGATCATTGAATTCGGGTGCATTATCATTGACATCATCAACCTTAACCTCCACTTGATATATACCCGCTCCACTAACTAAGCCCGTGGTATATTCCACAATCACCGTGAGATCATATTTATCTTTTTGCTCACGATCCAGTCCCGTCACCGTCAACAGGGTACCATCTTCGGTAATAGAAATTTTATTGATAACCTCCTGTTGATTGGCAATAATGTAGCGTAGCTTGATGTTACTGTCCTGTGCCAAACGTCTAGGCAAACGCTTTCGTGTCTGTCGGCGAGGATTTTTACTGCGAAACCGGGAATTCAAAGTGATATTGGTTTCTGGCGACAATGGAGCAGCTACAGCTCCTGGCGAAGCTTGTAAACTTCTATATGATTCCAGATCATTGTTGACGATATTAATACCATTCTTGTACAGCAATTGACCAATGATCCCACCAACAATATTCTCCTCTATATGGAACTTGATAATGTTCATGTTGATTTCTCTGCAAAAGACAAGAGAGGAAAGGAATTTTAGAAAAAAAAAAATCTTAAAAATACCGAATGTAGCTGTTACATTAGGGTCTATACGACAACATGGACCATAGGTAACTTTTGTCATAAACCATTAAAATATACAAATGCGAAACTTAACAAAAAAAAAAAAAAAAAATCGGTGAATAATGTTGCTAAAAGCATCAAAATGCCGTATATAGGGAGGTACCGTTATATCGGAGCTATACGAAGACCTGGACCTGCATAGACAATTTTCTGTCACCAGCTGTGCATCCATTACGAACTTCAAATAGAACATCTCAAACAACTTCGGTGAGTATTGCACCAAAAATCGTCAAAATACCGAATATGGGGAGGTACTGATATAAGGGCCTATACGAAGACCTGGAACTGCATACACAATTTTCTGTCACAGACTGTAGTTCCCATTACGAACTCTAAATACCTAATTTCAAACTTCTGCGGTGAATAATGACACTAAAATCACCAAAATACCAGATATTGGGGGGTACCGTAATATGGGATCTATACGAAGACGTGGACCTGAACAGAAAATTTTCTGCCATAGGTTGTAGTATCCATTACAAACATTTTTCCGGTGAATAATGTCGCTAAAATCAACAAAATACCAAATATCGGGAGGTTCCGCTATATGGGGGCTATACCAAAACGTGGACCTACATGGCCCATTTTCAACACAGAAAGTCCTGCAGACACAATATACATTTGAGTACAATTTTATCAAACTACTTCACTTCGTTTGGAAGCTAGAGCGATTTCTACAGACGGACAGATGGATCGACGGACAGACATTGCTAAAACGACATTGAATTTTATGCTGATCAAGAATATATATACTGTGTAGGGTCTAAAATGTATATTTCGAGGTGTTACAAACGGAATATACTCTCCATACTATGGTGGAGGTTATGAAAGTGCTAAATTACCGTGTTTTCTTGTTAAAGAGGTCAGCTGAAAATCTGCACCTTCAGTTGGCCAGCAGAACTCAAGCGGCGGCCATGGTGATGGTGTGGGCCGCTATAACAGCCAATGGTAGCTCTCCGCTCGTATTAATCGACCGTGGCATCAGAACAAATGCCGAAAATATTCTTGAGGGTGTGTTAATGTCTTGGGCACGGAAACATTTTGGCCGCAAACATTTTGGCCGCGCCACCCAAAAATGGTTACAAAATGAGGATCATCGCTTCATTTCCTGCGCACAATGGCCACCAGAATCTCCGGATACTAATCCGTTAGACTATTGTGTCTGGAGTATTTTGGAAAGCAAGGTTGGCACTAAAAAATATCAAAGTGTCGTTCACCTCAAGCAAGCGCTTCGCCGGGAATGTGCCAAAAAACCACAGAGCAAAATTCGGGCAGCGTGTGACGGTTTCATTGGCCGTTTGAAGGCCGTAATTCGTGCTAAAGGTGAGCAATTCAAACAAATCTAAACTTATTTTAAAATTGTATGCTATTTCCGATATTTTTTGACTTTGTTTGCAGTTTTTTTATCTCACCCTGTATTTTCCAGTTCACTTACGTCCTTAGTCTGATATAACCGTCGGAGGTGGCAGGTTTAGATAATGTGTATATACTGTTTGAAAATGCTCAATTTTTTTTTTTTTTGGCGAAATTACCAGAAAGAGTGGCTCAACATACCCCACATACATGATTTTTGAAGTAAATCGCTGATTTATTTCGCATGTATAAGGTTTATAATTATTCATAATGTTAAAAAATGGGGTAGGACCAGGGGGAGTGGGCCAAAAATTTTAAATTCAAATCAGATCTCTTTTTGTTAAAAATATTGTAATAACCAAGGTTTGAAGAAAATCTTTCACATATTCCGCATCTTATGACAGTTATAATATGCAATTCAGAAATTCGATCCTTTATGGGGGAGGTACCAGAAAGAGAGGACCGATATATTATATCTTCATAGTAGATCTTGTGTGGTATTAGGTTGTTTCAAGTTGCCTCATGTTTGTTTATTTAAAATATTGATCAGTTGTGGGCAGGTATCAGAAGGAAAAGTTCGTTTTATCCGTTCTTCATATCTGATCTTGTGTTGGTAGAAATATTGGGATGTGCTAGATTTGAAGGAAAATAGGACTCTTATTTCACATTTTTTTAATAACTATAATTATTCAAAATATTGACCCATTGTGGGGGAGGTATTATTCAAAATGTTGACCTTTGTGAAGAAGATACCAGAAAGTGTAAGCCGGTATATCCCATTTTTACCCCCTATATTGTAATGGTTAAAATATTGAGATGTGCGAAATTTAAAGAGAATCTAATGCATATTTCGCATTTTATGGGCGTGTTAGATATTCCAAATGTTGACCCTTTATGGAGAAGGTATTCAAAGTAGTGGTCTGACATATCCCATCTTCATATCAGATATTGTTGTGGTAGAAATATTGCGATGTGTGAAAATTAACAAGTTAAAATGCAATCCACCATTTGGAACGAATTTAGAAATAAAATTCTTAAAAAATTCTGTTAAAAATTTAAAAATACCGAATACAGAATTTATATAGGTTTCTATATGACGTGGACCCACACGGGCATTATTTGCCATAAGTCATTACCAAATTCAATTGAAATAAACGGTGAATAAAGTAGCTAAAATCATCAAAATATCGTATATATGGAGGTACCGTTATATCGGATCTGTGCTAAGACCTAGACCAGCATAGACAATTGTCTGTCATAGGCTGTAGCATCCATTACGAACATCAAATACGACATTTCAAACAATTTCGGTGAGTATTGTACCTAATCTCGTCAAAATACCGAATATAGGGAGGTACTGGTATATGGGACCTATACGAAGACCTGGACCTGCATAGGCATTTTTCTGTCACAGACTGTAGTTCCCATTACGAACTCTAAATGCGTAATTGGAAAAAATTCCGGTGAATAATGACGCTAAAATCACCAAAATACCGAATATAGGGAGGTACCGTTATATGGGGGCTATACGAAGACGTGGACCTGCACAGACAATTTTCTGTCTTAGGCTGTAGTATCCATTACGAACTTCAAATACCAAATTTTAAACAATTTCAGTCAATAATGCCGATAAAATCATCAAAATACCGAATATCGAGAGGTACCGTATGGGGGCTATATGAAAACGTGGACCTACATGGCCCATTTACGAACTTAACCTGCCTACTAAAAAAGTAAACATGTTTGCGAAGTTTTAGCCTTCTATCTTCGTTCGAAAGATAGCGTGAATACAACAGACAGACAGACAGAAAGAAGGATAACGCTAAATCGACTTAGAATTTTACGCTGATCAAGAATATATATACTTTGTTGGGTCGGACATGAGTATTTCGAGGAGTTACAAACGGAATGACGAAGTTAATATACCCTCCATAGTATGGTGGAGGGTATAAAAATAATCGGATGTTTATTTCGCATTTTATGAGCTTTTTGGTTATTCAAAATTTTGACCCTTTGTGGGGGAGGTACCAGAAAGAGTGTTCAACTATACTCCATCTTTACACCAGATTTTTTAATGGTAAAAATATTGATATGTCTGCAAATTGAAGAGAATCTGCAGTATATTTCGGATTTTATGAGAGTTATAGATATTCCAAATTTGGACCCTTTGTGGGGGAGGTACTCTCTCTCATTCGATTTGGTAATAGTAATGCAAATATCACTGTTGACAAATATTGAACAATTTAAGATTATCCGTTTTTTTCCTATGCGGTAAATTATTTTCTAAGAAAATGTTGACCTTTTGTGGGGAAGGTACCAAAAGGAGTGGACCGATGTTTCCACCTCAATGCAAGTTAAAAAAAAATACTACGATGTACCAAGATTGAAACAAATCAGATACTCCCTTCGAGAGTTATCGTGCGCACCAACCATACACACGGCGGACATCGCTAAATCGACTTCAAATGTCCTGAAACGGATTTGATCCAAAGAAACTTAGGTTCTAAAACCGTTATTTCGAATAGACACGTTTTGACCTTATAAAACTATCTAATATTCCATTCCAATTTCTTTGAGTTTCAACAGTGTCTATTATTGCCCGAATTTTTGAAAATTCTTAATTCAAATATAAGTTCTTTCCGTATCCTGTTGACAGTCAAGAATAACTGACTTTTTATTCGTATTCTTTAAATATTTAAATTTATACTCACTCAATTACTGGCCTGAGAGGCACTTGATTATCCGGTTTGCTTATGACATGTATGGTAACATTTGTGATAAGGACGCCTTCATCTGTTAAATCGGGAGCAGGAACAGTAGTTAATGGTTCCTTGCTGCGAGCCATAATCAATGGCCGGCTAGCATTGGCAAACAGCTAGAAGTCCTCATAGATATTAACATAATCCAACATTCAAAAATTGTTCAATACTCACATAATTAGCCACCGCCTCGAAATGATATACTTTCCGCTTAAATTCCTGCAATTCTCGTATAACCGTAATTATTCCCGACCTTTCTTCAATGGCAAATGGCACCCCCTCCGAATAGGTGTGCAACAAGTCATACATAATTTCATCATCCCCATCATAGAGTAATGTGGTGCGCACCTGACCCACAGAGGTGCCCAGCGGAGCATTAGAGCCAATCCAGAATTCGTAGGGTGCACCAATGAAATCAATCGACTGATCATCCAAGGTGGCAAAGACTTCAATTGTTATGACAGCCAAGGAGAAACGTCTTTCCGAGGGATTAAGGGGCTGAAAAAATTATTTTATGAATATAAATATTTAATGAGAAATTTATGTGGCACCCACCTGATCACTGGCCTCCACAAACACGGCAATTCGTCCCCTTCTCAGCGGTCCCGAAACATAAATCGTACCATTTTTACTATCCAAACGAAATGGTATATAACCACTTTTCTTTGGCCGTTGCATATCGTAGAGAAGCATACCATTTGGCCCTTCATCTGGATCTCGAGCCAACACCTGACCCACCATATAACCCACTGGCGCAGTTATGGGTACCTTAAATTCATACAGATTACCATTCTCAAATTTCGGTGTATTATCATTTTGATCGAGTAACGTAATTTCAACTTTAACCGAATTTGGTGGTGGCTTCTTGGAATTAATGTCATCCATGTAGGAGGGCATACGTTCCAAGGCCTCAACTTCTAAATGTATCGACTTTCGTTTTTCACGATCCAGCAGACGATCATCACGAACAGTAATCCAACCGGTGCGAGAGTCTATGCAAAATGCTCCCTTGGCATCGGGTTTCTCTTTGAGATTGTAAAGAAATTCAGCATTTTCACCTTGATCTCGATCCACAGCGTTCACTTGCAGGACACTGAAACCGGTGGGTAGATTTTCCACAATCGATATATTGTAGAAATCAGCTTCGAATTCTGGCATATTATCGTTGAGATCAAGAATTTCAACTTCGATTCTGAAATGAAGGGCAAAAAAAAATATTAAATTTGGTAAATTATTGGGAAATTTATTTCAAAAACTGGTAAATTTACAAAAAAAAAAAAAAAATGGCACATGTTCCAAAATCTAAGATCCCAAAAATAAGTCCTCGAGAATGACTAAGTTGTCTCAATAATTCTAAACTAACAACATTTTTAAAGACTCTTCTGGGACGGAGTGGGACAATAAATAAAAAGCCTAATATACTTTAAGACAAGTAAATTTATTTAACTATAAACTATCCTCCATGTTAGAAATATTGAGGTTTCTCTGGTAAAACTCTATACACCTGTCCACCAATTTCCAGATATTGGTCTGGAGAGTGGGAAATTCCAAGTGATGGTTATAGTATTGGGTTAGTCTGACCCACAAAAGGGGTTTGGGTTCTCAGCCCAACTTTTTAATTCTCAAAAGGGTCTCATATGATTTGGTCTATGATTCGAAAATTTGATATAGGTTTTAAGAACATATCCCGATTACAAGAATTTTTTACGTCTTATCGAAACTTTCCTACCTTTAGCAAGTTTTTGTACTTTGAGTTCTTAAGAACCCTCCAATCAGAAAGAAGACCTGCTGCTCTTCTATGAGAAAGAAGACCTGCTGCTCTTCTATGAGAAAGAAGACCTGCTGCTCTTCTATGAGAAAGAAGACCTGCTGCTCTTCTATGAGAAAGAAGACCTGCTGCTCTTCTATGAGAAAGAAGACCTGCTGCTCTTCTATGAGAAAGGAGACCTGCTGCTCTTCTATGAGAAAGGAGACCTGCTGCTCTTCTATGAGAAAGGAGACCTGCTGCTCTTCTATGAGAAAGGAGACCTGCTGCTCTTCTATGAGAAAGGAGACCTGCTGCTCTTCTATGAGAAAGGAGACCTGCTGCTCTTCTATGAGAAAGGAGACCTGCTGCTCTTCTATGAGAAAGGAGACCTGCTGCTCTTCTATGAGAAAGGAGACCCGCTGCTCTTCTATGAGAAAGAAGACCTGCTGGTCTTCTGTGAGAAGTAGACATTCTCGTCTCCTTTGAGATGAAGACCTTCTCGGGTTCTATGGGATGAAGATCTTCTGGGCTTCTATGATATTAAAACCTTCTCGTATTCTTGAGAAGAACACAATTTCTGGTTCTCTGTGAGAAGAAGAACTTAACCTGTTCTGTAAGGAGAACACCTCCTCGTCTCCTATAAAAAAAACCTTCTTGTATTTTATGAGAAGAAGACCTCCTGATCTTTTGGGAGAAGACATAATATTATATACAATATATTATAAGCTGAAGACCTCTAGACATTCTCTGAGAGGAGTGGTATTCTCTATAAAGGGAATCGTGTGATCTTCTCGAGAAGATGGCTTTTAAGTCTACTTTAAGTAAACCCCTTCTGGTTTCCAATATTGAAAATACCTTCTAGTTGTCTCTTAGATGCAAATGTTATACTCTTGCCTTAGACGAAGGCTGAGAAGAAGCACTTGAAGTACTTTTTTTCAAGTAAGACCTATGACTAGTCTTTAGAAGTATTTGTTGGTTGGTTTTAGTCACATTTTAAATTGAATTATCTGATGCTTCTAAGAGGAAATATTTCCATTTGTCATATTTCGCTTTCCTAACTCATAAATGATATACGAATCCCACACTATTTTCTTCCCTAATAAAAGAAGACACTATAAGTTTGACCCTGAGGAACTTAACTAAATTTTCGTTCTTTTTTAATTACTACAACTACAGAAGCCTTTTAGACGCGTGTCTATCTAGTTCTATTGTTCCAACTTGAAATCATATCAGAATGCTCAAAAAAAAAAAAAAAAGGAAAAACTTACCTCGCTAAAGCCTTCCTCAATGGATTATCCTTTTGTCGGGCTTCGATTTGCAGCACAAATGTATTGCCCGGTAGACTTTCTTCCTCCAAATCAATTTCCTTTTGTAGATAAACAATACCATTATTGGGATTCACTCGAAACAATTTACGCTCATTTCCTGAAATGATATCATACACCAAAGATGCATTCAGAGAATCCTGGTCAAAGGCCATAATGGGTGGATTAAAATACAGCGGAATTCTGATGGGCACTCCCTGAAAAAATAAATGGAAAATATAAAATTCACATTAATTTATTTCAATTCAATTTATTGTGAAAATCTCTCCACTCACCGTCATCGGATAGAACTCATCGATTTTCGAACGATAAACACCTTCGGTAAATTTCGGTGGCAAGTCATCCACATCCTTGACATTTATGGTTATAGTGGTATTCACCTGATTGGCTGGGGTGCCACGATCCCAGGCAAACAGTGGCAGCTTAAATAGACGTATGCCATTATCGAAATCCAATTCCTTTTTCAATATCAACAAAGGACGATGCGGTGATTTGAGAGAAAAATAAGGACTACCATCTGCCGACAACTGCTCTGGAACTGTAGACATACTGAAGTGGACTTCAGAATTTGGCGTATTTGGCTTATCCCGATCGAAAGCCTGAATGCCTTCGAACACAATTGTACCCGGTGGTGTATTCTCTTTTATATCCACAATATAGGGGGTATTAAGGAATTCCGGTTTATTATCGTTGACATCTTCAATGTAAACAGTCACCGATAAATAACTACCCTCTTCGAGTTTTTCATTTTTGGCCGCACAAACTATGCGGAATTTCAATAGATTTCTTGGCACATCTCGATCGACCAGATCTTCAAGGGACCGCGTTAGGGTCACCACAACTGAAGTCAAATTATATTCATGTATGGCAAAATATTTATGATCTCCCGTATTGTCGGGAGATTGAAGCGAGATTTTTGAACGTGGATAGGCTTTGATGGTTAGAATCTCCTTTCCAATTTCGGCATCTTCACGCAGGCGTATGAAGCGTACACCCTCGCTCTCCGTTGAGGCACCGTCGTGAAAGGCACAACCCTGATGAGCTGTAGGGAAGGAACAAAGCAGGAAATTTAGTCTCTATGTCAAAAATCAAATCAATTGTACATGTTTTGAAGTATTTTTATATATTTTTTCATATTCGTAGGAAAAATAATTATTTAAAATATTTTAATGACAATTTTTTCAATGAAGTAAGTTGATTTTTACAGAATATTTTTTCAAGGACTAGCGGAGCTAAAAAATATTTTCAAGGACCAAAAAATTGCAAATTTTTATAAAATTTTTTTAAAGACAAACCATTTAAGACTATTTAAATTTTTTTTCAATGACTAATCGTGGACTTTTTAAGAAAATTAATTTCAAGGACTATTCGTGGATTTTTAAAGAATATTTTTTAAGGACTAATCGTGGATTTTTAAAGAATATTTTTTCAAGGACTAATCGAATATTTTTAAAATATATAATTTTTTTTAAGAGAATTAATTTCAAGGACTAATCGTGGATTTTTTAGGAAAATTAATTTCAAGGACTAATCGTGGATTTTTTAAGAACATTAATTTTAAGGACAAATCGTAGATTTTTTAAGAAAATTAATTTCAAGGACTAATCGTGGATTTTTTAAGAAAATTAATTTCAAGGACTAATTGTGAATTTTTTTTATGAAAATTAATTTCAAGGACTAATCGTGGATTTTTTAAAAAAATTAATTTCAAGGACTAATCGTGGATTTTTTTAAGAAAATTAATTTCAAGGACTAATTGTGGATTTTTTAAGAAAATTAATTTCAAGGACTAATTGTGGATTTTTTAAGAAAATTAATTTCAAGGACTAATCGTGGATTTTTTTTAAGAAAATTAATTTCAAGGACTAATCGTGGATTTTTTAAGAAAATTAATTTCAAGGACTAATCGTGGATTTTTTAAGAACATTAATTTTAAGGACTTATCGTAGATTTTTTAAGAAAATTAATTTCAAGGACTAATCGTGGATTTTTTTAGAACATTAATTTTAAGGACTAATCGTAGATTTTTTAAGAAAATTAATTTCAAGGACTAATCGTGGATTTTTAAGAAAATTAATTTCAAGGACTAATCATGGATTTTTTAAGAAAATTAATTTCAAGGACTAATCGTGGATTTTTTAAAAAAATTAATTTCAAGAACTAATCTTGGATTTTTTAAGAAAATTAATTTCAAGGACTAATCGTGGATATTTTAAGAAAATTAATTTCAAGGACTAATCGTGGATTTTTTAAGAAAATTAATTTCAAGGACTTATCGTGGATTTTTTAAGAATATTAATTTTAAGGCCTAATCGTGGATTTTTTAAGAATACTAATTTCAAGGACTAATCGTGGATTTATTTAGAAAATTAATTTCAAGGACTAATCGTGTATTTATTAAGAAAATTAATTTCAAGGACTAATCGTGGATTTTTTATGAAAATTATTTCCAAGGTTAAAAAAAATGTTTCAAGGTCTAACATACCACCGAATTTGACTTTTTTAAAGACGTGTAATTTTTTTAAAGATATTTTTCTAGGATAAACAGACCATCAATCGTGGATTTTTTAAAAAATATTTTGCAATGACCAGCAGATCATCAAACTTGGATTTTTTAAAGAATATTTTTCAAGGACCAACAAATCATCAAACGTGGATTTTGTTTAAAGAATATTTTTCAAGGATCATCAAACGTGGATTTTTAAAGAATATTTTTTCAAGGATCATCAAACATGGATTTTTAAAGAATATTTTTCAAGGATCATCAAACGTGGATTTTTAAAGAATATTTTTCAAGGATCATCAAACGTGGATTTTTAAAGAATATTTTTCAAGCATCATCAAACGTGGATTTTTATACCCTACACCACAAGGTGGTCAGGGTATTATGTCTTTATGCATTTGTTTGTAACAGGCAGAAGGAAACGAGATAGACCCATAGTTCCTTTTGATAATCTGCATAGAATCACATTCTGAGTCGATTTATGCATATCCGCCCGTCCGTCTGTCCATGTATTTTTGTAAACAAAGTACAGGTCGCATTTATTGCCCGATCCAGATGAAATTTTGCAAAGATCTTTTGTTTGGCCCAAGGACGAACCCTATTGAAATTGGAGATAATCGGTCAAAATTTAGATATAGCTCCCATATATATCTTCGTCCGATTTGCCTTTTATTGTGCACCAAACGTGTAATATCAGCCCGAATAGTATGGAATTTTGCATATACACCCAAATTAGGCCTGAAAATATGTGTGTCAAATTTGATCGAAATCAGTTCAGACATAGCTATAGCTCCCATATATATTTTTCATCCGATTTGTTATTTTTGTCCACCGCCGCCGTAATATGCACTCTGTAACAACAATATTTGGGGAAATATATCAAATGCAGCTCAGAAATACCTTTGCTAAATTTTATCGAGATCGGTTCAGATTTGGATATAGCTCCCATATATAACTTCGTCCGATTTACGTTTATTGTGCACCAAACGTCTAATATTTGTCCAAATGGGATGAAATTTAGCACTTACGACCGAATTGAGTCTAGAAGCTAGTATGTTAAATTTGGTGAAGATCGGTTCAGATATAGCTATAGCTTCCATATATATTATTCATCCGATTTGTTATATTTGTTACCCACAACCGTAATATGCACTCCGTAACAACGATATTCAGGGAAATATATCAAATACAGCTCAGAAATATCTTTGTCAAATTTTATCGAGATCGGTTCAGATTTGGATATAGCTCCCATATATATCTTTATCCGATTTCAAGTTAATTGTGCACCAAATGGGCAATACAAATCTGAACTTAAAAGATACAAATGCTTCGGCATATTTAGTCCTTTGAACTTTAAATTATAATTATAATCATAGCGTGGATGATTGAATTCTCCCATAAAAACTTATAATTGTTATGTGGAGCTCTACTTAATTGGCAAAGTGGTGTAGGGTATCATAAAGTCGGCCCCGCCCGACTTGAAGACTTTCTTTACTGGTTAAAGAATATTTTTCAAGGATCATCAAACCATCAAACTTCAATTTTTTAGAGAATATGTTTCAATGACCAACATATCAGCAAATGTGGATTTTTTAAAAAATATTTTTGGAGGACGAATGGACCAGCAAACTTGGATTTTTTAAAGAATATTTTTCAAGGACCAGCAGACCATCAAACGTCAATTTTTAAAGAATATTTTCAAGGACCAGCAGACCATCAAACGTCAATTTTTTAAAGAATATTTTTCAAGGACCAACAGATCAAACAACGTGGATTTGTTAAAGAATAATTTTCAAGGACCAACAGACCATCAAACGTGAAGGTAAGCCAATGGGAAAATATTCCAGGTTTATTCAAGTCTATAAATATCTTTCTAATTCCAATATGTCCTTCAAAAATCTACCCCTTTACACTGATTTCATATTTAGTTTTAAATTGCAATCTAATTAAGCCATATATCGTGACAATCCCCTCAAAAATAGCCTCACCTCATTTTAAGTAATTTATCATAAAAACGAAAGTAAAATAATTATTAAAACCCATCCACCCCAACCCTCCACTTAGTTTAAATGTCACGATATGAAATCTGTTACTGCCCACCACAGCAAAATTTCACCTACTTAACCGAAAAATTATCACCAGCAATGCAATTTTCTGCTACAACGCGTGTTTGCATTCAAGCAAAGACTATTTCTTCCGAAAACAGTCAGCAAGCCAACCAACCGTCTAACCAACCGACCATTAGATGGGAAGTTCAGGCCATCAAAAGCATGAAGTGAAGAAAAAACTGCAAATGCACAGTCTTGGCAATGCAGCTACATGGTATAATTTTCCCACAAACAACAAAATATGCAGTGCCATTGCAAATGGAAAATTACAGTAATACTGTTAAGAAATATATAAATGCAAATATATGTAGAAATGAATGTAAATAGAATCTTGCTATGAGTCCACGATAAAACTTTGTGGCCAAAATTTGAGAATGAGAGATGTAAATTAGTAACAATTTGCTGGACGAATTTGGAATTTGGGTTACTCATTGGAAGGCTAAGATCTTGTGAGAATAAAATTGTCATGATATTCAATATATATTTAATGTATCATCTCTTTACAATATAAAGGATCAGCGTAAAATTTTATGCCGATTTATATTCAATGACTACTATTACAGATGGAGCTTTGAAATTTTCATATTTCTCCTGAGGTGCTTAGACGATTTGAAACGGTGCTCCAGCGGTAATCAGTCTTCGGGATCGAAGTAGATGAATACAATTTTACTTATAGTCAAATTATGTCTTTTTATTGGGATTCAAATAATTGGTTATAAAATTCTACGGTCATTAGCATCAAGTCAAAAAATCGTATTAGAGTGTTTATACCGCACTTAATTGGTCTATTTGAATAGAACTAGGTCACAAGTTGCAATACTGGTATAAATAAATCATTGGATTTGTGCGTCTGGGGAAATCACTGTAGCTTCCGAACGAAATAAAAAATTTTAATATTGCATCGGAATGATACAACGATTTTCTTCAAACTTCATGGAGTGCAATTATATGGGGACAAAACAGGGGTTTTATAGACCATTAACTTCAAAGATGTTTCTTTCATAATAGTGGCAGCAAATTCGGTATAAAATTGTGACAAAATTAACCAAAACACCCTTAATCTGCCAGTACTGTTAGGCAGAGAATGGTCTATACAAGCCCCTGCTTTGGTCCCCAAAAAAGTGCAACTCCAAGAAGTTTTGAAAAAAAAATCGTTGAATTATTCCGTATGTTATGATTGTTAAAATTATTCCAAATTTTGTTGTTACATAATAGTCAGGCTTAATCCCATAATTGTTGTTATACCCTACAACACTATGTGTTGGGGGTATTATAAGTTTGATTGTCCCAAAAATTATCTAACACCTCGAAATATTGATTTCCCACATAGGAAAGTATATATGGATCTTCCTATCTCGCCGAGCTGAGTCGATCTAGCTAGGTATGTCCGTCCGTCCGTCTGTCCATGTTAATTTGTAATCACTCTACAGGTCACAATTATGGCCCGATCTTCACGAAATTTAGAATGGAGGTGGGGCTAGGGTCAGAATAGAACCCTATTTCTTTTGGATTTCTTTGGACCAAAAACTGAAAAAAATTCCTGATTTTGCAGTTGCTCTACAGGTCGCAATTATAGACCAATCAAAGCGGAAGTTAGCATGGGGCTAGAGCTTAGTGCTGGGCAGAAGCCTTCCAATTTTGATGGTCATCGGGTAATATTTAGTGGGTGAAATGGACTATAACATTTATGGTAAATAAAAGTCAAATTTTCCATTAAACCGCCATTATTTTCAGTCCCGGCGAAATCACAAATAGACGGACAGGTCAATTCTGACCGTTACGTTGATGTCGATAGAAAAAATTTATCGGACATATATAGCGAAATATATACAATGTGTATAAACAAAGGAAGGGGATAATAACTTAAATGCTTATATCTCAAGAATGGCTGGACTGATTTCGACAAATTTTGTAAATTCAGAATGGGCTCTTGGCATGAAAGAATAAAATCTAAAAAAATCGCATAAAAAGATGCCAATAATGATGTTAATATAGATTTTGTAGTATTTTGTGACATATTTTTATTTTTTTCGTATTTTTTATCGCATGCGATTTTTTCAATTTGACTTATAATATTGAGGTGTACATTTTGTAATATGTTTTCACCTTACAACACAGGTTGGGGCTATTACATACAGACTGAAATTATCGTCCGATTCTCACGAAAATTTTCACAGGTGTAGGGGAAGGCTCAGAATGGCTAGGCCTATTGCTTTCAAAGATGTCCGCAATATATTTTGGGGTTGAAATGGACCAACAACTAAAAATATTCCTGATTTTGCAGACATTATAGAGGTCACAAATAGAAATCAAAGGACACGATATCTCGCATGAAGTTAGAGTTTAGGCGAACTTCTAGCTTTTTTATACTGATTTCGTTGATGAATATAGCCAAATATCGTAGACAAGCAAATCATATAGATGAGTCTAAGTTTGGAGACCCAGAGGTATCTCTTGCTTTTGGAGATGTTCGCAAAATATTTAGGGGTTCAAATGAACAAAAAACGGAAAAAATTTCCTGATCACACAATTGAAGCCAATCGACACGACTGAGAAGAGAGTTAAGGACAGGGAAGAATTCTAACATTTTGCATGACCATAGCTTATACGTAGCTGTAAAACGGACCACAACAACTAACAACACAGCGGAATGCGTAAATATTGGGCAAATGTCCCTTGTCATAATGCTAAGGGTAATAACAGGTCAGTGCTCTATGACATAATTTCAAAAGCGAAATCTTCCAAAATGGATTTGGACATAAGGGAGTTTCTAACATATTGGAGTTTTGTAGGGTATCATATGGTCGGCCCCGCACGACTATAGCCTTTGCTTACTTGTTTTTATAATAACAACGTTTGTTAATAAGTGGACGAAGATATTAATGTTTACCAGGGGGTAAGGCAGGGAATACCTTGGTTTCGGATAGAGCTACTCCTCATCAGTTCCCTTGTTTTTTGTCGGGGATATTCTCCCCAGGAGTTAATAAATAAACATTGTTTTAATATAAACAACAATAATGGGATTAAGCCTGACCTTTTTGAAACTCATCGAAATAATAATTTTAGACCTAACAAGGTATGTATATATTCTTGATCAGCGTTAAATTCTAATTCGAAGATGGAAAATATCGGTCCACGGTTTCGTATAGCCCCCATAGAGCGGTGAAATTGTCTGAAATTCTACGCAAGGAGTTCTTTGTGATTACTTTACCCCCTTTATGCATCGTATATCCCCCATATAACAGTACTTTCCGATATTCCGTATTTTGATGATTTTAGAGACATTATTTGCCGGAATTATTTCAAATTTCGTATTTGAAATTCTGATTTGGTGCAACAGTATATCGCAAAAAATTACATAGGTCCAAAAAATTATGTAGATCCGTGTCTCCTCCCATGCAACGGTTTTCATTTAAGCGGTATTTTTCTGCGGAAATTTTTTACGTTCCTTCCAAATGGTGGAGGGTATTATTCATACCCTGATTCCCTAATTTTTGGGATCTTGGAGAGGATTCGGATTAGCTTGTCAAATATTCGGGTATCCTGGGTCAAATATTCGGATCGAATTTCACCAGAAGTAATTGTTCATAAGTTCTTTATTTATACTGTCTCTATGAGAATTGTGAGATTTGAAGACAATCTGCATCTTTTTCACTCTTTATAATTTTTTTATTATTCGAATTCTTAACTTTTCGCTCGGTATGTACCTAAGGAAGTGGGTCAATATTGACCTTTCTCTCACCTAACCTAGGCGTAATAAAAGTATTTATTTATTTTTTTTTTTTTTAATTTAATCGAAACTGAATATTTCTTTCATTCTTCGTGAGATATTAAATTATTATATTATTTATAGGGATATCAAAAGTGGAGGCAGTGAACTGATACTACCCATCTTCAAATTTGATGTATTTTTACCAAAAAATTACTATGTGCAAACTTCGACGGAAACGAATATTCCTTTCGGCAGCTTACGTGCTCAACAACCAGCCAGGCAGACATTTTTCCTATTATAGGGATATACACCCTCTGCATACAGGTATAAGAAAACTTCTTTTTGTTTTTCAGAAATATTTAATGTATTATTATACCCTCAGCCATATCGCTACAGAGGGTATATATAATTTGTTACGGATAAAACGTGCCACATACACACTACGGTTCCTTAGATCCCTTTTGAACCAAAAACCATATCAGGTCAATTGGAGTCGATCTAGGGGTGTCCATCCATCCGTCTGTCTGTCTGACTGACTGGCTGGGGCGCGCGATAACTCTCCAAGCGAATATCCGATTTGATCCAAACTCTGTACATCGCAATATTATTCTCAAACTTAGATCGAGTTGGGAGATAGATAATATTGGTCCACTCCTTTTGGTAACTCCCAAACAAAAGGTCAAAATTTATATATTTACCACATAGAACAAGAAAGGATCATCCACATTTTTAAGCTTTGCAAATCCTTAATCAGTGCTAGGTCGGGTGCGAAAACAGACAACATCGATCTACTTCGTCGAGTACATCCGCCTCAAAGGGTCAAGAATTTTGAATAATCATAACTCTTATAAAATGAGAAATAAGTGCCGGATTGTCTTCGAAATCCGCACATCTCAATATTTCTATCATCTGATGTGACAACTTATTCTGCTACCTCCACCACAAAGTGTCTACATTTTCACAAAACGGGAAATAAGTAATTATTGAACAACTCAACATTTGTATCTGTATTAGTATTTCCTGTTTTAATATATTGGACCATTTTTATCATATCTCCTCCACAAAAGTTCAACATTTTTCTAAAAAAAGGATATATCAGACTTAGGTCATATGCTAATTGGAAAATATTGATACCCTCCTTTGGTACCATCCCAACAAAGGATGAATATTTCGAAGATTCAAGTCAAAATATATATTATTATCAAATATAAGATGAGGGTATAAATCAAGCTAATGACGTACCAACGATATAATGTTTCGAGTGTGGAATAGAAAAACATCCTTGAACCAGCAAGGAAATTCCACAAAATAGCAAATAGGTTTCGAATATTCAAATCATACACCGTAAAATAACGCATTCTATTTCAAATATGCCTATACGGAACACACACAGGTCTTTGCAAAAATTTTTCTCAAATTAATTTACTTCCTATAATTAAGGTTAAATAAAATCACATTTGTGTAACAAAAATGCAAACAATACTACGATGTTAATTCAATTTGAGAAAAAAAAAACATCACACACACAATACATAAAATCAAAATGTGCGTTGGGTAGGTTAATAAAACTGATTTTCCTGCAGAGCAAAAAAAAAACATAGAAATGCAATTGGTAGCAATTGAATCTTACAAACGGATATGGCTGTAGCTGAGGAAATCTCCTCTAAAATACTTTGATGATAATTATGTCATGAGGGTGGGAAAATTTGCCAAGATTTTCATGTTGTTGAGATCCACAGAAAAACAAAAAGAAAAACATGAATATATGCGCATATTTTACACAAAACAAATAAAAAACAGAAAAAAAAAACAGAAACTAAAGATGAAGACGAATGGTTAGATGGCTGCGTGATTCGTTGGATACGTCGTCGTTGTTGATGGTGCTTCTGCCAGGCGATTTCGTAAAAACAAATGCGACTACTGTGCAATTTGCCAATCCATTGCAGGCAGTGGGTGTTGTAAAGCTTATAAAAAATGCATCAAGTTTACAAGCGATCTTTTTTTGCTGTTGGGTTGGCTTGCTCACTTCTGCCCTTTTTTCATTGGAACAGGTTTCACTCATCACCTCAACGAATATTTATCTCGGCAGATGCATCTGATAGCCTTCTATAGAAAGTTTTTTTCTTCAGCTCTGTTTACATATCTCTTTTTGAAAAATATCTCATCTGTCCTTTTCTTAGAGTTTTTCTCTTGCATTTCAATGCAATGGAAAAATATTGTTTGCGCAAAATTGTGCGACGAATGCGATGAATATTATTATTGCCATCTCTGCAAGATTTTCGCACGATTAATTGTTTGTGTGTTTGTGTTTGTAAGACAATTGTTGTGTTGATGGCATTGCAAATCTTGCCGTTGTATTTGTCGTTTTCACTTCATTTTCACAACAATAGAGGAAAGGGAAAAAATCCGACACCCAAAACCTTGTGAAACTTTTTCGCTTTCCGAGAAACGGAAAAATCACTTCGAGATATGTATTCAAGTATTTGTTGTTAAGAGATATGTATGTTTGTATGAGGGGGAGCGACAATAAAACGCATTTTGATTAAATGCGGAAAATGAAGGTCTCCTGCGCATTGAGTTCAAAGCCAACAATTTTCACTTGTCATGTTAATTTTTCTTCTGTTGGGTGACATTTTCACTATCACGAAGAGATGGCTATCAAGATAAGGTATTGAAATCAAATCATATTGGCAGTAATACTGCTATTATTGATTCCTAAAGGCTAATTTGATTTTTCAAACACGGTGAGTACCAGTCCAAATAAAGTGAGACGTGATTCAGTCCGGGAATCTGTAGCTTTTGTCTTTATATGGAGGGTCGCCACATTTTGAGATTATAGCTTAATCGTTTGGAAATTAAGATACACATTATTTCCTACGAACAAGTGTTGGCTCGCTATTAATTGTATATGCCATTATCAGCCTAAGAAGAAATTACCAAAAATTCATTGAACAGACAACCAACGCCATCATTCTAATTTCCTCGTTTTAAACCATTCAAATAAATTTAGATAAAAGTTATATTTTATACCCTCAGCCATATGGCTACAGCGGATATCATTTGATACGGTCAAAACCTGTTTCATATAAATATCGGTTTTAGACCCGAGGTTTCATTGGGCCAAATCCGTTTCAGAAAATTTGGAGCCGATCTAAGAATGTCCATCCGTCCATGTCCATGATAACTTTCGAAGGGAGTATTAGATTGGGTTTAAACTTAGTACACCGTAATATTATTGTCAACCTTAGAACCAGTTCGGAGATGGGCAACATCGGCCTACTTCTTCTTATACAAAAATCAACATTTTCAAAGATTATTTAATTCACAGAAAGAGAATAGATCGTTCGATTTGGTTCAAACTTTGCAAATACCAACATTTGTATCGGTGTTAGGTGTGGTGCGAAGATGGACAATATCGGTACACTCCATCAAGTACCTCACCCACAAAGGATCACGATTTGGAATAATTATCATTATTATAAAATGGGAAAATATAGGCCGGCATTCCAATATTTTTATTAACACAAGGTTATCCCAATATTTTTATCAAAGTGTAAAGGTGGAATATATAGGTCCACTCCTTCCGCTACCTTCCCCACAGCGGTTAAGAATTTGGGACAAACTCAAACGCTCATAAAATGCGAAATAAGCATGCAATTCATTCTAAGCTTCACACATTCCATTATTTTACTGACACATGATCAAATTTGTTATATTTAAATATTTGTCTCAACCAGAGATTTGATGTGTATATTAAATTTTTCGGCCAAACCCTCACAAGGGGTCCTCCTTTGCAAATAAGTATTAGATTTTCTTTAAATTTTGCACATCCCAATATTTTTAACAGTATTAGATGAAGTGGAATACTTCGGTCCACTTTATCTGGTACATCGAGAACAGATTGACATTTTCCAAAAAGTATCGCATATCTGATAAAAAGTAAAGAAAATAGTCAATATAGTCCAAATCTCGCGCGACATAAAATTATACCAGACCTTTGTCAGATATGAAATGACAAATATTGGCCCACTTCCTCGGTATTTGGTTATTTTAGCGACATTATTCACCGGAATTGTTTCAAATTTGGTATTTAAAGTTCGTAGATAGAAAATTTTCTGTGACGGTCCACGCCTTCGTATAGCCCCCATATAACGGTTCCTCGCGATATTCGGTATTTTGATGATTTTAGCGACATTATTCGCCGGAATTGTTTCAAATTTGGTATTTAAAGTTCGTAATGGATACTACACCCTAATATAGAAAATTGTCTTGACGGTCGACGCCTTCGTATAGCCCCCATATAGCGTTTTGTAAAATAGCGTTGAGTAGGATATTTTGGCAATGTGTACAAAATGAAAGGACGGTACTAAATTTGGTACAATTTGATTTTGAATAAACGGGTGAGTTGGGGAAAAAAAGACTTGGTTTTGCTTCTAAATTAGTGGTAATGGATGTATAGATAGCTCTCGAAATTTAGCATTGAGGTCACTATTAGTTTATAGAATTGAGATTTAGTTTTTGGTACTTGGGTAGGAAAAATGAGATTTAAAATGTGGTATTAGGATCGTTTCTAGTCCGGTGGGGTTGATAAATGATGTCTGTTATAAATATTACATGCCGGATTGGCCTTTATCGAATACTGGAAAAATTTGAAATGTAAGTGATGCACCAGATTTAGTGGACCGAATTATTACACTTTATATAGTACGAATAAATATATTGATATGTGCAAAATTTAAAGAAAATCCAACACTCATTTACAACTTTATAGAAATAATTGTTATGTAAGCAGAAGGAGACAATGACGAATCCTAATGAATTTAAAATTTAGTTATGGCTCCCATTTATATCTTCGTTCAATTTGTCTTTTTTGTGCTCCAAATTTGTAATTTTAGTCCAAATAGGATGGCATTTACCACATGCGACTATATTGAGTCTAGAAACAAGTATGCCAAATTTGGTGAAAATCTGTTCAGATATAGCTAAACCTTCCATATATACTATATATCCGATTTGTTATTTTTGTGCCCCACAACCGTAATATGCACTCCAGAAAAACGGGAAAATATTTCTAATACAGGTTAAGTTTTTAATATAACTCCAATATATATCTTGACCCGATTTGTGGTATATTGTGCACCAAATGTTTAATTCAATCTAGTTCGACCTGGAAGAAAGTGTGCCAAGTGACAGGTATAGGTCCTATATATAACCAGCTTTCGAATACTGCATTAAAATATATCTGCTAAACTATATAGAGATCGTATATAGATATTTCCTATAGCTA